TCTATAGATAGACACATATAAATGGCTGCAGCCCGAGGAGAAAAAAAAAAAGAGAAAGGAAAAAGAGAGAAAAACCTCACTTTTCGGCGTTGCTACGCTGTGGCGGGTATCCACTGTTTAGGCGCCGTCTGCCTGTTTTATATTAACCAGATGCCTGTACAGTTAACAGAAACTATGTTCAGTTTAGCAAAAAAAAAAAAAGAAGACCAAGTACAATATCAAAACTTATATACATCCTCACCCAGGTCCGGTGGGTGAGAAGGGGTTGAAGAAGGGGTTGTCCGACAGGGACGCACTACTTGGCCTGAAAGAAGGGAATACGTATTAATCTATACAAAGCAGACAAGTGGCATGCCCGCCATCGCCGCAGGCCGTGAATTGATGATACAGCCAGGACGAACTCAACGTCATCTCGAGATGCAAGCTTTCCCAGCATCCTGGCTAGATCGCAGAAGCCAAAAGCAAGCATAAAAAGGCCAGAAGCAGCTACCAGAAGCATCTTTTCCAGCCTTTATTTCGAAGACGTTATATAAAGCCGCTGCCGCCAGTAGTTAGTTCAGTAGTTAGTTCTCTTGAGTATATAACACCTAGTTGGCTTATATCTCGCCGGCTTCGTCCTGCTTTCTTTTCTTCTTCTTCTTCTTCCCCGTCTCTTTGCCTGGAACTGCAAATACGAAGCAGAAACTCGACCGAGCTCGAGATCCAGACACAAACCTTAACAACACAAGAAAAATATCTCGTCCTGCTTCTCTCTCTCTCTCTTCTCTCTCTCTCCTTCTTCTTCTTCTTCTTCTTATTCTCTTCTTCGCCTTTTCTGCTTCTTCTTTTATCTTCATCTGCGCCTTTATCTCCCTCTTTGCCTCCTTTATCCTCCCTGCTGTCCATCCTCAGAGTGCAGCTGTCTGCCACTGATCCTACCATCACCATGGTCGCTACCAAACAACGCAAGGTCGCCATAGTGGGCAGTCGGGCCGTTGGTAAGTGAACCCAACACCAGAGACAAGAGACAAGATACAAGAGACAACAGACTTGATATAGAAGAAGAACAAACAAAAGACAGAGGTACGATGGCTAACAGATGGCAGGCAAATCGTCGCTGACCGTCCGCTTCGTCGAGGGCACCTTTGTCGAGAACTACTACCCGACGATCGAGAACACCTTCAACCGCACCATCAAGCACAAGGGCCAGGACTACATGACCGAGATCGTCGACACGGCTGGCCAGGATGAATACAGCATCCTCAACTCGAAGCATTTCATCGGCATCCATGGCTACATGATCGTCTACTCTGTCGCCTCCAGACAGTCCTTTGAGATGGTAACCGTCATCCGTGACAAGATCCTCAACCACCTCGTGCGTCTTTCTTCTTCTTCTTCTTCTTCTTCTCTTCATATTTAACAGTTATAGCAACACTGGATGCTAACAGCTTCTAGGGCCAGGACTGGGTTCCTCTCGTGCTCGTCGGCAACAAGTGCGATCTCCCCGCAGACGTGCGAACGGTCTCTGCGGAAGAAGGCAAGAAGTTGGCCGAGAGCTTCAACTGCGCCTGGGCTGAAGCCAGCGCCCGCAACGACACAAACGTCTCGTCCACTTTTGAGCTGATGATCGCTGAGATCGAGAAGTCCCAGACGCCCAGCGAACCAGCGAACAACGGCAAGTGTCTCGTCATGTAGACCCCTCCGCGGGGCCCTCCATCTTCCGACGTTCGCCTTGCCTTGCCGTTGCTTTCCTTTCCGCTTTACTTGCTTTGTTTGGGGATGGTCAAAGTCATACACGACTGATGTGAGGCGGCGGATGGCTTTACGGTGCGACTCGAGCTTCGGCGTGTCACCTTCCACCCATCCTCGATCAAATGATTGAACAACAAAACAAACAAATCCAAACCGTCCATTAAACTAGTCACGATCACGGCTTATCCTTTCGACCTTTTCTTACCACTCGATCGATATCTCCTCGATACGAAACTACCGGCTTCTCTATCTACTGGCTGCAACATGGTTATACCCTTTGCCTCACTTTTCTCTTTTCCTCTTTTTCTCTAACTGTGTCTTTGTTTCTCTTAACTCTGCGTTGATTCTTCTTCTGTTCCTCGGGTCGGTCGGTTCGGCTTCTCTTCTTGCTTTGCTGTCTCTTCTTTTAACCCACCCCCCTCCTTTCTACTTTTATCCCTGGCTGGATTTAATGCTTCTTTTTCTTCCCTTTTTCTCCCCCTGCCAGGGCTGGTGGCTGACGCTGATGATGACGAGCATACCCCCTTTTCCTTCTTCTTTTTCCTTTTCTTCCTCTTCATCTCTTTTCCTTCGTTTCATGGGACTACGGGTTGATAGACCAGCGTTAGAACGGATTGGGGTCAAGCACTGCATGTATGTTATTTTATGTTATGTGTTTTTTTTTTTTTTTTTTTTTTTTTTTTTTTTTTTTTTTTCATGTTTTCCATGCTTCCTCATGTCTCTCTATGGTAATAACAGTAATATCTAATTATCCCCTATCTCTTACCTACTCGTCTGATATCTATCCCGCTGATCTGTTGTCCATCCCACCTCTGCACGCCGTACTGCCATCTTTGATATCGGACGCTGTTATCGCCCACTGCGCTTATCGACACGGCCCAAACGCCACGCCAACCGTACTTTTACCCCTCCAGTTTCTTTTTTCTTTTTTTCTCGACTTTTCAACTCTCTCATCAACATACAAAAAAAAAGACCGCCAGGGCAGCGAAGAAAAAGACACTCGACAGCCTCGCAGTCGCAGTCACTGCAGCCCATCTCTCGTCTCTACTCCGTGTCTGCTCGCATAGAGGCCTGTCTCTCGTTCAGCCCTGCTGGTTGTTGACGCTGTTTGCCAGCACTCACCCCGCACTGCGATAACTAAAAATAATAAGATAGAAAAGCTGCATAAGGCAGACAGGTCAAGATGCTCGACATCGCTGACCTCATCCCCGAGCGAGGAGGAGACCCAAAGAAGGTCAAGGAGAGCCAGAGAAGACGGTTTGCCTCTGAAGAGCTCGTCGACGAAGTTGTGGCCTTGTATGAGGATGCTCGCCGGAGTAAGTTGACTCGAGAACTACTGACTCATTATTACTGTGTGGGCTAACGTCGTCTTCTGCAGCACGATATGAGGCTACGCAGGTCGGATCAAGGATCAATGCCGTACAAAAGGAGATTGGCATGAAGAAGAGGGTTGGTCTTCGCGAAGGGATATAGTAGGGGATGTTGATGGAGATGGCTAACAAACGGTCAATAGAATAAAGAGGACGCAACAGACCTGCTGGCGGAAAAGGCAAAGCTAGAAGAAGAGAAGAAAGCGATCGAGGACCGAGCAGTACAGTGCGAGCAGCTTCGGGACCGCCGACTGAAGACAATCGGAAACTACGTCGACGACTCCGTCCCCGTCGACAAGAACGAGGACAACAACGCCGTCCTCCGCACCTGGGCACCGCCAGACGTCAAGGTCGAGAAGCGAGACTGTCTCTCCCACCATGAAGTGCTCTACCGGCTTGATGGCTACGACCCAGAGCGAGGAGTCAAGATCGTAGGACATAGAGGATACTGTCTGACGGGCTATGGACTGTTCCTCAATCTTGCGCTCGTCAACTACGGACTTGAATTCCTGTTTAACAAGGGATATAAGCCCAATCAGCCACCGCATTTCATGTTGAGGAATTACATGGCCAAGACAGCGCAGTTGGAGCAGTTCGATGAGGAACTATACAAGGTTACTGAGAGCGAAGATCCAAGCACAGATAAGTATTTGATTGCTACGTCTGAGCAGCCCTTGTCTGCCTTGCACGACGGAGAGTGGATTTTGGAAAAGGAGCTTCCTATAAAGTAGGTTATGCCCTCGTATTTATTACAGAATATGTTGTGGCTAACTCCGATAGATATGCTGGATACAGCACCTGTTACCGAAAGGAGGCTGGCGCCCACGGTAAAGACGCCTGGGGTATCTTCCGAGTTCATCAGTTCGAGAAGGTATGCATTGGAGCTCCCAAGATACGACTATCAAGGCTAACAACCATAGATTGAGCAATTCCTGATAACGAAGCCAGAGGAGTCATGGAAGGCCTTTGACGAGATGATCGATACATCTGAAGAATTCTACAAGTCGCTCAAGATTCCCTACCAGGTCATTGCCATCGTCTCTGGTGCCTTGAACAACGCTGCGTCCAAGAAGCTGGACCTGGAGGCATGGTTCCCCTTCCAGGGAGAGTACAAGGAACTCGTCTCCTGCTCGAACTGTACCGACTATCAGACCCGCGAGCTGGACATCCGGTTCGGCTCGAAGAAGCTTACCGACGTCAAGAAGAACTACTGCCATGCTCTCAACGCCACGCTGTGTGCCACCGAGCGAGCCCTATGCTGTATCCTGGAGAACTACCAGCAGGAAGACGTAAGTTTCGCCTATCCCCCCCCACCTTTCTACCTCTTTGTGTCGTTGTTCTGACATGTCCTAGGGTATCATCGTGCCAGAGGTCCTGCGCAAGTACATCCCCGGCAACCCAGAGTTCCTCCCGTATGTCAGGGAGCTGCCCAAGGACACCACCTCGCAGAAGGTCAAGGCCAAGGGAGGAAAAGCCGATGCGGCAAAGGCGGACCTGGCCAAGGGCGTCGAGAACATGAAGGTCTAACCAATGTATTTCGCCAGACTACGTACTTAGTGCCATGCTGGACAACGAACAAGTAACAAACAACTGCCAAAAAAAGTACCGAAAGTATTGTTAGTCGCAGCCTGCATGAACTAGCGGCTTGTTCCTGGTCAGCAGCCAGGGGTCTCCCCCGACGCCGGGCGGAGGGAAGTAGATACAAGACAACCAGGGCCCTTTATAGATCAAGCCATAGGGCGCGTGCAGGCCAGCGTCACTCAAAGTAGCTTGTCTACCGCCCTCTGCCTCTCTGCCCACCAACCGGTTCGCTCTTATGCGCGAGAGATAAGAGACAATGGGATGGCTAAGAAGCGAGCCTTTTTTAGTCAGCGGGGCCGCTTTTAGCTGGAGCAAGCAGGACTTGAGCGATAAGAGTCATCTTCATGCACGCAGCGAACAACTCACGGCGGTGCGCTGACAGCTAGCGAGCTGGCGATAGTTATTAAAAAGCCCATCAATCCCTCGTCCCGGCCTGTTCTTCTTCTTCTTCTTCTTTTTCTGCTCTCGCCATCCTCAACAGCCCTGCCACCATGTCTCCTCCGACAGAGATCAGCGGCGCCGCTCGCAACCTCTCGGACCAGGTCTCTACCAGCGTGAACCTGTCTGTCTCGCCCTCAGCAACTCGTCCCTCTCCTCTCTCCAGCTTCGATGCCCGAACAGCCAGACAAACCTCCGTCTCCCGCCCAAAGCTGCTCAAGCCCTTCGCTACCAAGGACATCAAGGTCCTGCTGCTCGAGAATGTCAACATCACCGGCCGCAGCATGCTCTCCGAGCAGGGCTACCAGGTCGAATTCCTCAAGTCTTCGCTCCCAGAAGACCAATTGATCGAGAAAATCAGGTCAGTTCACATTTCTTATTCCTCTTTTCCCTTCCTTCCTTCCTTCTTTCTTTCTTTCTTTTTTTCTTTTTTTTCTCCTCCGAGTCTATCTCAGATCCCGCAAAAAAACGTTCGGAGAATTTTACGGCTGACGGAACTACGGAACTACAGGGATGTGCATGTCATCGGTATCCGATCCAAGACCAAACTGACCGAGAGAGTGCTCAAGGAAGCGCACAATCTGCTGGTCATCGGATGCTTCTGTATCGGAACGAACCAGGTCGATCTACAGTATGCCGCCAACAACGGCATTGCGGTGTTTAACTCTCCATTCAGCAATTCCCGCAGCGTTGCTGAGCTGATGATTGCCGAGATCATCACCCTTGCCCGTCAACTGGGTGATCGATCGCTTGAAATGCACAATGGAACCTGGAACAAGCTTAGCAATAAGTGCTGGGAGGTCCGTGGGAAGGTTCTTGGTATAACCACCCCCCTCATTTTTTTTTTTTACTTTTTCTTCTTCGTACTGATGGTGTTTTCAAGGTATAATCGGATACGGACATATTGGCTCCCAGCTCTCTGTCCTTGCAGAGGCCATGGGCATGACGGTCATTTACTACGATGTAGTCAACCTCATGGCCATGGGGACCGCCAGACAGGTGCCTACGATGCAACAGCTGCTCAACACAGCCGACTTCGTCACCCTGCATGTTCCGGAGCTACCTGAGACTAAAAACATGTTCTCCGCCCAACAGTTCGAGCAGATGAAAGATGGCAGCTATCTTCTCAACGCTAGCCGTGGGAGCGTGGTCGACATCCCTGCCCTGATCCATGCCATGCGTACCGAGAAGATCGCCGGTGCAGCCTTGGACGTGTACCCCAGCGAGCCTCGAGGTAACGGAGATTACTTCAACAAGGATCTAGCACCCTGGGCAAGTGACCTGCGGAGCCTGAAGAATATCATTCTCACCCCTCATATTGGAGGCAGCACCGAGGAGGCACAGAGTGCCATCGGCATCGAAGTCGGACAGGCTTTAATAAGATACGTCAACGAGGGAACCACCCTTGGTGCAGTTAACATGCCCGAGGTCACTCTTCGATCTTTGACTATCGACGAGCCAAACCATGCTAGAGTTATTTTCATCCACAACAACGTTCCCGGTGTGCTGCGAAAAGGTTTGCGGCCCCCCACCTTAATTTCTTTCAATTTTCTTTTACCTCAAGACTAACTTGGCTCTAGTCAACGAGATTCTCGGCGACCACAATGTTGATAAACAGATGACAGACAGCAGAGGAGATGTACGTTATTTTCTCCCTGTGTAATTACCAAACGGTCAATTGCTAACACTACGAACTTCTAGGTTGCCTACCTGATGGCTGACGTCAGCAATGTCGACTCTGAAAACATCAAAGATCTATACGACCAACTAGAGGGCCTCTCATGTATGTGCACCTAACTATTACTATTCCTTCAAAACAAGTTCCGTTAACTAACGAAACATTTAGCCCGGATTATGACCCGTATCCTCTTCTAAATAAGGCATCCCTGCCCTTATAGAACAGAAGTAAAAAGAAAAAAAGCGTTAGCATATATATATATATTTAAAATTCATCTTCATTAATACTTCAACCTACACAGGCCGGGATTTTCATTTTCGGGCGAGGAGATTTACTGGCAAATTGCTTTGAGTTGGAATTATGATGGACGATGACGATTCTCACGGTCTCATGCATGGTTTATTTCTGTCTTTGCTACTTCTATCTGTTTATTCTTAGCTATCTTCAATTCAACATTGCCACAAACGGGCTCGACAGTTATGACGAATATCAGGATAAGCACTATACACCAACAGACGGCGACTTCATACCACCAAGTCGAGGCAAGTTGCTACTGTGTGTAGGCGGAATGAATGAAGCGATAGACTTTAAGGTTGATCTTGGCAAATAAAAGTAGCCAATTATATGATGAGCCATACATCGAACTCTCTATATCTCTTCAATAAAATGGCTGCTAACGTTTTAACTACTGGGGCAATCGCATCAGAACCTTATTGCACTTATAGATATAAAAATGCTCAACCCAGGCAAGTTGTCCGCCTCTCGAGGCAACAAGCTCTGCGAAAATTTCAAAACAAGGGATGAACAAGACTATTTATATCTCACTGAATGTGTGATAATTCATTTACCTATCATTTTCCTTCACCAATATTCGAATTACGCATCGCCCAAGAATACCTGCAAAGAGACACACTTAGCCAAAGGGTATCAACCATAATCTATTCTTAAATCTACAATTTATCACCTCTACAGCCACTGCTCATGTCTTCTTCCACCGACCGGAGCCACATCCAGCGCCTTCTAGCCCGCAGCCGTACTAAACTGAATGGATTCAATAGTCCTCTCTTTAGACTGCCAGCAGAACTTCTGGCCATGGTAGTCAAAAACCTGGACAACGAAAACGACAGGATTGCCTTAGGATTTACCTGTTCCCGATTCTTCTATTCTGATGCCCTTAAGGATACCCTATCAAATAAGAAATCAAGATTCAAGGGACTTTGCATGTTGGAGAGAAACGGGGAGTTACAGCATTGCTGCCGAGGGTGTTTAGCTGTTCATGGTCCCGAAGCCTTTTCTAGCTTTTAACTAAGCAAGCCGCCATCAGTACGTTATTGTATGATGACTGTGAAGTGCCTTAACTTGGGAATACACGGTAATTTCAGTTTTGCGGACGTCAAGAAGCTAGTATCGCAAGAGAGAGGAGATTGTTATACTAATTGGCTTCCCACGATATTTTCTTCGCCTGAGGTCACACTAGAGTATCACCTCCCCATATTCCCTCAAGGGGCAGACGTTGATCCTGCAGGTTTTGATTCTCTTATTAAGACCCTTAATTATGCACTCTGTCCACATATGCGTGCAAATCAACCGGGAGTACATCTTCTATACGTTCGAAAGCCTGGCGCTGAGCCTCGTCCAGGATGGATAGATCCTTCCGCAAGGTGTTTTGAATGCAAAACTGTGGTGACAGCTTGCGACTTGCCGAGTTCTACTCCTGGAAACGATGGCCGGGTTTGGTTAGCACTCAAGGTCAGTCGATCTATTGGAAGGCTCTATTCTCCACTAGAGCCAACGTGGCGTAACCAGTCCTTTTCTACCAAGATTTTTAATTGGGAAAGGTATAACAAAGTGAGAAGCAAATGGTGCCGGGACTTTTGGAGGGAAAATCCTACAGCTTACGTGGGGTGGGAGGACGAGGAATGTCTGCAGAACGTCCCCGTCCACCCATACATTCCCCCAACCGGGACAGGATATGGGCAAAGTAGGCTTACGCCTAATATCGGTGCGTCTTTTTCAAGAGAACAGCAGAGAGTAAATCGCTGGCTGTATTGGTGCAATCTTATCCCAGAATGGGTGCATAGGAAGTTCGCGCCTGTCTATAGACTCGAGGTCTCTAATTGGACGGGTACGACGGTGGTGAGTCGCAAATGTGGTGAAGTTCCTGAAGTAAAAGAAATATTGTGACTGATTTGCATATCATTGAAATATACTCATATTGGATTCGAGTAGTTTGAATGTAATAGTTTCTATCCCTAGAGAGTATAGAGACGCTGGACTTTGCGGTAGTGACGTATGAAGTTGAGAGGGATAAAATGACATAAATGTGAGGATTAAATGTTGCAGGAAGGAGTCACCCAGAGCGCCTGCCGCCGTTGAATGTAATAATGGATTCGCAGTTTCCTTAAGTTCGTGTTTAGATATGCCATTATATTCCCTATCAGACGGGCCATCAATGTCCTTAGCCAGCGTCCTTACAGTTAGTGCATAACACCAGGAGTTGTTTTTAATCCTAAGACTATGTCGTGGATTGCTGCATTTGCTACCGTCGGGGCTTCCTCCCACTCGCTGATGGTTTTCATTGCGCGGGTGGCCTCCTCGCACACCCGGCGGCTTTCGGCACTTAGGCGTATGCTCGCCTCATTCCGCTGGGAGACTGCTATCTCCCGCTGCAGGAGCTCTCTCTCGCGGCCCCTTAGCTCCCTTCTTTTGATGTAGACGTTGGACCACTGGCTCGCAAGCCTCTGCTCCCAGTCTACAATCTCCTCCTCCCGTTCCTCCAGCTCCTTATTCTTCTCCTTTTCCTTCTTCTTCTCCATTTCCGCACGCCATGCTCGCAACTCGGAAGAGACTGCGCACGCGGCGATAACGCCAGTCCTTGAAGAAAGGGATACATTGCTCCGGCTAGAGCAGAGGCGGCAGACGTCCATCCGCAGGTACGTCCAGCAGAATTGTGGATAGGGGCGACGGCCCTCCTACCGGTGAATGGGGCACCGGTACCTTGGAGGGATCCCCCTAACGGTTAAGAAATCCTCTATTAAAGAGGTTGGTTAGGTCTGGCAAGCCTAGCTACACCAGCGAGAGTTCGCACTTTTACGCAGTGCTGGTGACGAGTAGCCATATAAAAAAGGAATATGGTGAAACGAAGACGAACTCATAGCTTTATGGTCTGGGAGTTGAATCGACAGATATCCATTGACATAAGGATATCGCGGCGGACATAAACACCTGGACTCCATTAAAAGGAAGCATACCACCTCATGATAACTTCTTTAACGAAAAAGCACCCGCATGATATCCCCTACCATCCCCAACGATTAATCCACAATGGCGTTGTGCCTCCAAACTCTACGGATCACGGATAAAACAATGATGCCCGGAAAACCCTGGGAATCTCTTGAGTGGCGAAGTGATTCTCATGCCACATGAAGAGACCTGCCGAGTTTGCTTGAAAACCCCGGATGGGAATTAATGAAAGAGAAGAAAACAGAAATCTAGCAAGTAACTTAAGCTAGGCCGTGCAAAAACCGCAACATGAGATGGGCCATCCCAGAGATCTAGCAGCCAAATCCAGCAAGGAAGAGAAATGCATCCGAGAGCCGCCTGTGGAAGACGTTTCTCAACAATTCTGCTCCTATCAGGATATTACTATGTTGAAGCCTGGGTATATTTGTTGATTGTAGCCGAATGCCTCCCAGAATACAATACTTGGATATCCAGGAGAAGCCGCTCGCTCCCTATTCAGCGCTTGATGATCTCCTAGGACATACACCACTCAGACACCTTTCAGCATAAAAAATCAAACAGAGCAGGAAAGGTTATAATCCAGTATATCAAAAGAGAAGAATCACACGAAACTCCGGATCCTTGGATAGCGACGAGTACAGAGTATCAAAGGCCCCCGTTAGCGACGACGAGAACGAAGCCAGCAAACCCGTCGTGACATCGAAGTCACTCCACTGCCAAGAAGTGACTAGCCAGGTGATTATATAAACACCCACATTTTCACGTGACATACTAGTTGCCCAGGTGAACCATCCTTCAGCCAACCACCGAACTACTTACACTTGAACTTCCTTCTGCCACCTCACGAACAGACAACCATAGGCACGTCTGTTAACCAGTTGCCTTACATCCAAGAAGTCTTCAAGATCATCATGATGATAGTCCCACCAAATATCTGTCAATCAAGCCTCATTACGTTACTTACATGAGGACCTGCAAAGCTCACCCTTCAACTGCGCATAACTGAGTTCTCTCTCTTCGCCTTCAACCCTTCAGCCAAGGCTACCTTTGATGGCGATACCGCAGATTAGCTGCAAGGGACACCGGACTCTACAGTTCGATCACTTATCCCCCTTATACCCATATCCGACTACTTCGTGGCTACACCAAGCTGTTAGTAGCTGATACTTTTGTGCCCTATTTTGCGGCCTTCGCTGTTTTACAACTCGAGCTTAGGATGTTGTTGTTTACGCTGCTTGTTGGAGGAGAACGGGCGCAGCCGCTGGTTACCCGCTTCCTACCTAGGCAATCCGCCAGACACGCCCTCAAAGCCGTTCCCGACGCCCTCGGAAATTGGTCGTTGAACAGATCTGCAAGATAACTACAATGGCATGGTCAGCAACGGTTACCGCGCTCGCAGCGTGTGTTTCTGCCTTAGCGGCTTATGTTAGCGGTCCCTGCGCTTCAATAATATCCGACCATAATGAAAGGGAGAGAGCCCTAGAAAGAAGTGAGCAAGAACTGCGCGTGGGAAAGGAATCCCTGAAGAGGGAAAAAGCCCTCCTAGAAGCAGAAGAGGAGGGGCCTGGTTAAATTAGCCGCGGACAAGGGCCACGGGCCCTCTTACCGGTGAATATGGGCTTCGGTTTCTCGAAATCTGGTAGCGGGAACACCAATACAGGCTAAAGAGTCTAGCAGACAGCGCTGGGATATAAGTGATACGGAAGCGCCAGTATCGATACAGAACGTAAAAGGGGTCGTTGTTGCAGAAGTGACGATTAAAAATGAGTATCACTTGTGATTTGCTGGGGTCACAGTGCAGGTTGTATCTCGTGGCGCCCCGACGCCAGAGCCGCCATCTAGTTAGTTTCCCTCTATCAACGTATCAGGGGAAGAGGCTCCGTCACCTTCGTCGTCCTCCATGATGGGCTGTGCGGCCTGCTCTGCCTCAATAATTGCGTTAAGCGCAGCCTGGCGGCTAAGGTCCACCAAATCAATGGCGGCAGGCTTGCGAGAGGGATAGAAGCAGTGTCAGTGCATTTCACCACACGTATAACAAGGCCTCGGCGGTGGTTTGGAGTAGTCTGGCGCCGTCCTCGGAGTTTCCTTGTTCTTGGCATTCACATCAGCCGTGGCCTTTGCAGGGACTGTCCTATCCTTGCCGTCGTCCCGGTTGTTGGCGGCCTTAGACGCCGTCGTGTCAGACGTGACAGGCTTACTGTACGGCTTGTAGGCATAACCCTTAAGGCTTAGATTAATAGCCGTGGCTAGGGGCCACGGGCCCTCTGGTGAATATGGGCACCGAGCTCTGACAATTCCAGCAGAAACTGGAAAGGATTCTGGGGGAAACAAAAAGAGGGAGGAAGAGAACATAGTGATAAGCATATTACGGATGTAAATATGAATACCAGGATCTTATTGCAAGAAATACAAAGTCTCGCAATAGCCCGTTGACGAATGAGTAACCACACGCCCAGCGAGGGTTTTGGTCCAGCCATTGATCAAATCACACGCCGTCTTATATACTTGCTCTGCAGTCCCCAGAGAGCATAAAAGTATACTAATCCTTCATGCCTAAGTCCCCCCTATACTAGTTCCTCCTAGCTCCTTGACTAGTAAATTTACATTGCATCAGTCAATCTTCTAGGATCTCTTTCCTTAGATACGCAAGGGACAGCCGTAAGCCTATCGTTAAATTTTCGTCTTACATTCAGGCTCTTATTTAGTTACCCTGTTTGTCTTTAGCATTGTTCGACCTAGTTCCCCCGGTATACCCGTATATCAATCCGCAGTGATATCTTGTTCCTATGTCTCCATGCATTATCAATACTATAGCGATGCGTGGTCATAATGACTCCTCAAGCCACTAGCAAGTGATTCCGTTTATCAAGAGCACCTGGATGCTTTAGTTTGTCCAGTCGTACCTCTTGGAAATTTTCATGGAATTATTATTATTCAATTGAGCAGTATTTATAGAGCTCCAGTTAGAAGACTGTGAGGCTCTCCTGGATAGCAATACAAGTTAAGTTCACTCACACGAATTATAGTACGGACTAATTTAAATAAGCTGTAAACAAATGGGCTGTAAACAAATGGGCTGTCCATATTGCGCCTGAAATCCATGTCTCGATACGACAAACATATTGAAAGTCTTTGATTCATCCACTATATGCTCGCAGAACTCCTGTCTAGTTCGCCTGATGCACAGTGCCTTTCCACATCACAATAAATGAAGAATATAACAGAAAGTGAAAATGATGGGTTGAATACGGCGGATATTCGGATATATTCCCCTGGGCTGTAGAGGAAAACATTGGTGCGGGAATGAAGAAAGGGTGAATTATAAACGTAGATCTGCCCGCCCGAAAACGAGCGAATTATCGCCTGTACAAATGATGGGACAAAGAACCAGGATCTCCCGATCGACTGCGGTCTCTCATTTCTGGGCTTCGACTTCGGCTTGGCCGCCAATATCGATCTCTTGATGCCGGATCTATATTATCTCGTCGTGGAGGCATGGGTCCATCAACCCCCGATCGATACCTGTCATTACCACCGCCAACGTAATTGGGAACGTATGAATCTCGCCCACTGTCACTTATACCCCCACCTCCTCGGGGTATCGGGGGCCTATCACGCCTGCTATCTTGGCCGGGGCCTCCACCCCGACGGGAACCAGTTTGCCATTGAGGGTTAGCAGGGGCCGGCGGCTTGGGTGGTAAGTTTGCATCCCGTTGCCATGCCGGAAGGTGGCTGTGAGGCTCACCGGAGGCCTTTCGCTTGTGGCCGTGGACTGGGTCAGGCATACGACTGTCATAAGGGGGTCGGGACGATGGGTGCATGTTATTCCCGTAACCAGAGCGAGCTGCTTGTGGAACTCGACTTTTCTTTGGATCTGTGGTGGGTACTCCCCGAGAAGAGCCTGAGGTCCATTCACCATGAGCTCCCATCCCAACTGATCCACCAGCAGGTGCAGGGGGCAATGCGGCCTTTTGTCCTCGGAATTTCCTTCTGTCAAGCTCATGAGAATCTTCAAATGAAGGAAGGTCGCCCGGCTTAGCGGGCAGCGGAGGGGTAGTGAAATATGGATGCTTGAGAGCATCGATGGCATTTATTCTCTTGCACCAATCAAGCCTCAGAAGTTCCGTTAGAAGAGATATTGCAACAGGGCCTTGTCTGCAGATTATGTATTAGCTATGCTGTATAGATAGAAGTAATACTTATACTGCTGATGACTTACTCATGAAAAACGGTGGCAAGTGTTGGGCGCTTGAAGCCAAAAGACCGTATGGGCTCTGCTCCTGGTAGCGAACTCCATCCTGGCATGTTTTCCTCCGTGGGGGAGCCCACAAGGTTGAATATAAGCTGTGCCTGATTAAGATCACTGGTTCCGGCGAGAATAGGCTTCCCCTTGAACATTTCGCCGAAAACACATCTGTCTCGATAATTAGCATTCTGTATGTCTACTATTGACACGTTAGGGTAAGAAGGGCTGATCTTACCCAGCACCCCAAAGGTCAATCGCCGTGGTATAGCGACGTAATTGGAGGAGAAGTTCCGGTGGCCGATACCATCGGGTGACAACCAGCGTCGTATATTCTCTCTTTGCTTCTCCGCCTCCCTTACCAGCAACAGGTGGCGCTTCATCATAGGGCCGGGCAAGGCCAAAATCCGCTATCTGAAGCACGCCGGCATTATTTATCAATAAATTTGCGGCTTTCATATCCCGATGTAATATTCGATTCTGGAGTATCACATTAGCTTATAAGCAATGGTCCTCTTGAATAACGAAGAAGTACCTCATGCAAGTACTGAAGGCCTTTTAGAAGTTGTATCATGTAACACTTTATCTGAGGCTCAGAAAAATGGACATCTGGATTCTCCAGTAATCCAGACAAGTCATGCTCCATGTATGGCGTTACCATATACATTGATGGTTTCTTTCTTCCTTCACCTGTTATAATGGTCAGACTCGTATTTAGAGACTAAAGTAGCGCACGAGAAGCAACACACCTCGGCTCCGTTCCACTGCCATTTCTTGAAGCTGTAATATGTTTGGATGTGATAGTATCTTGAGAAGTTTGATCTCTCGTAGGGCAGTGATTGGAAACTAAGCCAATGTTGGGGTCAGCAGTGTGCATGCGCCAGCTGTATTCCCAGATTGAACCCACCCCATCTTTCTCATTGTGCATTAATATTTTCTTTAAGGCGACTAACGAGCCGGCTCGTTTGGATCTGGCTTTGTAAACCTCACTTCAAGAGGGAAGAAGTATGTTAGCAGGTGTGCGATTGGGAGCAGCAAGAAGCTTGAACAATACCCGAAGGTTCCTTCACCCAGTTTCCCTAAGAACTCGAATTCGCGAATAGAGGAGCAGCCCTGAAAGCGCAAGTGACCGTCTTCATCGCGCTCTAGGGAGCGCTTAGGCCTGGGCGACGAACCCGATGCAAGCATCGTGGTGGCTCTCCAAGGGCTAATCCCCGATCCCTAAAACCGCGAAACGAGCCGTGAACGCGTTTTCGAAAATTGGTATAGCACGGATGGTCGAAGAGTAATTGCGCCGCAACTCCGGAACGCAGGACGAGGTAGGGTAAGGGGTAAAAGGACTGGCGATCTCTCGAGCGGTGATATTCAAGTCTTAGGTTGTCTAATAGCTCGAAAGCTCGGAGTTGCGACACTGATTAAAATAGAGTTTAGGTAGAAATGTGTTGTCGGAAGCTCTAATCTTCCATTCCGTATTATGTAATACACTAGCGCCACTCCATTTTATAGATACACGTGATAATACAATGACTAAGCCAAAAAAGGGTCTCGGAGTTGGCTAGACTTCTCTAGAAGTCGCTGTCTCGATTCAAAGTAATCAGGGGAGGATCTTGGTTTCAGTTGATTATTACTAATATCGAAAAGACACAGTGTATTATAGTCCAGAACATGCAAAAATGGGCCTCTTTCCAACCGATACGTTGATGGACTATAACTTATAAGCGGAGACTTAATGCTGACCGTTTTTCTTAACGCTCTTTTCATTGCGGCTTGTAGGTATTTCTACGAGCCGCATAACGAATTAAGAAGCTTCCGCTTTCCTATATTATAATATTTATTACTTAATTAGCGATATCAAAAAGATAATACTAAGGCCAGAGTAGAGGTATCTTGATAGAAGCTAACAACTTAAGCTTCGCCAAGGCCGGGTGTTTATGCAAGGCTCGATTTAGCGCGCGGACCCGAGACCCGAAACTCAAAAACTTACCGTTAAGGCAACACCCAACTCTGCCGTTTGGCTAAAATGTCGATTCCACGCCGGTCTTGAATCTATAGTCGTTTTCAGACAGTTGCCGGACATGGACTGGTATTTACATGGAGCCCTCAAAAATTTTGGAAAGTGCCTGACTGTAGCACGTATAGACCTTAACTTGGTCAAACCAAGATATTAGAAATTTTGATGCTGGAGTTTCCAATGTATAGTACATAGAGAACAGCGGGGATTCTCGGGGTTGGCAAGTAGGTTATCAACTATCGACGTAATTCAATAGGGTGTGAGTTTGCATTACCAGGGAGAAAGAGTAAATCACAAATAGAAGTGAAGTTGGTATGACGCGATCGACTGTTAACTCGACTATAACTTCAAATGGATTTTTGAATTCAAACTGCTGCAATTTCGCACACCCCTTTATATCTCTTTCTCAGCTTCTCTGTTCCCGAGCTCCAGATTATCTTCAAGGCTGCCACATAAGCTACCCATTTCACCCGCCAATCCACATCAAGCTATCCAAGCAGACTATTGCATTCTGGTGTACTAACTTGTCCCATGTCGTTTTCTCGTCAGTTATTGTCAAAAGAAGTCTGTTATGCTGATGCTTACACTTTGTACTCATCATCAGCAAGTTCATCACTCACAAGAAAGAGATGAACCGAAGGCTCCTCAGAGAACGATGGAGAAGCATTCCTCGGGGATGCGTCGATTTACAACTAGGATTATCGATGTGGTGGGCCTCACCTCGTTGAGCTCCCTGCAATTACAAAAGTCCCCAGCCTTCGGACCCTCTACACGCTAAATGGGAGAGAGCTTCACGAGCCAGTAATGGAAATTCTGGTTAAGTTTAATGTCGACTATAACCCTTACGCCGGACTATACCCAGTTCAACGTGCATCGGATGAAGATATGAAACAAGAGTGGTATAGTACGATATTTGTATCAGCGACTAAGCGCAGTCTGGATCGTTCCTGGTATCTCACCTGCAAGGAAATCCGGAAATTACTGGAAGAAAAGAATATGGCCCACTTCAATGTTGAGATTATCGATTGCCGCGCAAGTCCAGGGGGTATCCAACAAAATCCCATTCTTGTGGACCAACCCAGCTTAAAATACCATGAACAATCTATCGATGAGTATCTCTTTAGCATCAAAGAAATGGATACTTATATCTCGCCTGAAGTCAAGGAGAGGATATGGTCTGGGAATCCTTCAGTTCCCACAGGCAAAGTTCGCGGCTATGAGCTAAACCAACAAATTATTAACCCAACTAATGCTCTGGTCGATCAAGGAGTTCGCTTCTTCAAGGAGAAAAATCACCACCTAGGCAAGGTTTAAGCAGCCTCTGGATTTCGAGCTACCAACCAAGAGCATTTCATGGACTGGGCTTTGATCGAAGTCAAAGAGAATCGGCTGGGAAGGAATGATGTAAGTTCTATTAGTCGTGGTGGTTATTCCACGCTGCCAATTCAAGCCAGATCCCCCAAAATTCTGATTCCGGCCATCCACAACGAGTAAAGAATACTTACATGCCCGAGGAGACCTACATATCTGGGACTGCAATTATCGAGGAGGGAATGCAAGCATTCAAACTCGGAAACTCCTGCTTTTGGCAATGCAGGAGATTCCGGGTCACTTGTGATTAGCTGTGATGGAAAACTCGTTGGTCTGTATCTTGGAGGGGATAGAGACATTGGATGGGGCCTTTTCATCGGCTGAGAAGACCTTTTCAATGACATCAAGCTTATGACAGGCTCAAATGTTCGCGTTCCTTCTTCATAAGTTCCTATGTCGGGCTCTGGTGTGGTGTTACTGGTAGTAGAGATGTTGCTTTAACTGATTACCTGCAGCTCATATCCTGTATCAAGATGTCAATGATAACTAACTGCAGCCAGTCAGGGGTCTTCGCTTTTTGGCCCAGCTGTTTGACACAATATTAATATCAAGTACGTACAAGCCAGAGAGGTAATCAGATGCTATAGTTTCCTTTCCTTTCTTTCAGTGAACGATAGACTAGCAGTGAAAACTGGGGCCCTAGCCTCCGTCAGGTCAGAAGTCTTGGGCTTGATCTATCCATGCATCCTACAACCTGAATAACAATATCATATGCTGGTATAGGGGAAATATTTATCCCATACTTCCACGTTTGAGTAGCCCCATCTGTGATGCCTTTTGGGTGCCATGTGACAGATAGGGGCCTGCCCGGTGTTACCCAGGGGATATCTCGGGACCAAGATATCCCAGTTTATAATGCCTAATAGTCGATAGCAATAATGGTGTAGTATTGCATAGGTAACTGAATAAAATATCATTGTTATGGGTTCCATTTTCCAGTAGACCCTAGTTAACTACGTACCTAAGTACTTAGTTAGGCTTGAACTTACAATCTTTGACTCCATCCCACCATATACATCCCCCTGAATTACTCTGCGACTCCTCTCCAGACGCTTCAGGAGCTTTATCAGATTCTCGCCTGATAGCCTGGGCCGATGAGAATCCCGGTTCAACCCACGTAAATGGATGACCTCTGTCTCGCATGTCTCTCACTATTTGTTTGTTGTACATCCTCTTGTCATTTGTTAGCGATAGATCAAACTCCGTAATATTCGGATTGAGCTGATCATGCAAACGTGGTGAGCTGATAGCGTCTCCAACCGACATCCCCCGATCAATAACATTGACAATTGTTTGTAAGGTAGCAGAGGGAATTCGTGTCCCACCAGCAGATCCTGTAACAAAATAAACTTCGCCCTGCTCATTTGTAACGATGGTAGGCGACATTCCGGAAAGAGGCCTTTTACCTCCTTGGATATGGTTATTTGCAAACTCCAGTGGATTTTCGGGGTGTTTCTTGCGCTGAAAGTCAGACATGTCGTCACCAAAAATAATCCCAGTGGTCGGATCCATGACTCTGCTCCCGAACCATTCGCCGACGCTGGTCGTAAGCGATATGGCTAAGCCATCTTTGTCCAAAGCAACGACATGGGACGTCCCTCCACTATATTTCACAGTATCGTTTGACAGGCCGGGGATGGCTTGGTCGGCCCCAGTGTATGGTACTAGGTACTCAAGGATGTCCCGTAGAGTCCTGTCCTCGATGTTAACTTGATGGGGAAATCCACTTTCCGCGTTGAGTAACCATTCTTGATACTTGTCCATGTCGATAGTAGGGAAGAATTTGGGGTCAGGGTCCCCCAATCTGGATCTCTATAGCGCACAGGTTAACTACACGGGCTTGTGTATAGAGGTAGTAATGTAATCATACCTGAGCATAGCCATATCTTATTGCTTCAAGCAGCCAATGGGTGCTAAGTCCATCGGTCCCAGGTTGGAAAGCGCCAGGGAATTTTTCCAAAAGCTTTAAGATGCTGAGGACGATCGTTCCACTCGTAGGTATCGGCGTGCTTGTAACCGTATGGCCCCGGTAGTTAATACTAACATGCTTTCGCGTTTTTGCCTCGTAGTTCTCCAGATCCTCTTTCGACATTAGGCTTGCTCTTCCCTTCAGGGTTCTATAAGTGTGATCTGCGATTGTTCCCTTGTAAAAGGTACCTTCGTTCCCACTATTCGCAATTGCTTCTAGTGTCTCAGCGTATTTCGACCGGTTCAACGGGGTACCCTCCGATATCAATTGACCCCCAGGGCAAAATGTTTCGTTCCAGGGGTATTGTTTAAACCAGCCGCAACTATCATCTGGCGGAAGCGCATCCCGATCACGAGGTAAGTCCCTGGCGACGCGTTTGACAAAGTACATCAAGTCTTCATTTGCTTTGAAATCACCCTTCGCTGCTTGGATGGCGGGCCCGAAGAGCTTTTTCCAGTCCAATTTTGCATACTTGTAAATCTTTCTGAGTCCCCGAAGCTCACCTGGAACACCACTTTTTGCAGTTTTAGTAAGGGTTGAGGGATATATAAATTTTGAAAAGAGAAGGAAGGAGAACACTTACACTGATGCACCCCCTACGTGGACATCATGGCGAGGGTCGTCGTAGTAGTCATCTGTTGCTAGACTAGGTGCGGTCGTTCTGAAATCAATAGCTTCAAAGCCCTTTGGATGTTTCACCAGAGCAAAGCCTCCACCCCCAATTCCGCTGTGATACATTGCTGCTTAAACTTTAGCATATCATGAAATTTTAAACAAGGTTTTCGGAAGATCACCTACCAACCGTTCCAATGCAAAAAACTGTAGCTATGATCTAGCGGCCACGACCACGATTAATTAAAGTTCGTGCTCATAATTTGAAATATCTGCTTCAATGGCATAGGCATTCGACTTACTGCATCCGCTGCAGTAGCCTCCGCATTGTTTTTGAATAACTCAACTCCTTTATCATTGCAATACTGGCTTTCACTAGCAATGCTAATCCCACGGTCTTTTTGCGCGGCTGTATGACGGCCATTGGTCCCAGGAGGTATCACAGCTGCAGCAACCAGGGAGGTTGACTGGAGAATCACTGTGAAAACAGATTGCAAAAGCATTTTGTTGCTCTGATCGCTGTGGTGTAGCTGATGCAAGCGAGGCAGAGTCTCCATCAGGGCCGAAGAGCAGTATATATAGCACGTAGCTACATATCATAGAATATTGCGTGGCTATCTCATGATTCGAATGAATACCAAACTTGAGGTTTCCATGATCACCATGCCCTCCCCTCCCCTGTGTGACCGTATAAAGTTGGGACAGAAATCAGCTTTTTAGGCCTAGATAATATACCGTACAATATAGATTGTATGAAACTGTCCATGGCTCGATTCGCTCTTACTCCCATGTCACTTGATTGGCCGAGAAAGTGCATACAGGCCATTGATAGCATAGCAGAGAGGGTTAGTCATCTGTAAACTCCCTTCAGAGGCGCAGGCTGAATAAATTAATTATCCCTTTATGGTGAGTTGATGCGAGATTCTGGATAATGGAACGCGGGGGATTTCAGCCAGCCCAGCGAGGATGATAAACAAGTCCATGTTATATAACCAATCAGCCCATATATAAACAGCTGATTGATTAATTGCACAACATACCAAATGGATGGAGTGACTGGATTGTCGATCTCGGCATGTTCTCATTCGCATGAATAACAGTCATCTGCCAAAGAGCCGGCCAGCTTTGAGGGTTGGTCACCATTGAAATATAGGCTGACTAGTTGGTCCGCCAATTCATGTGCAGATCTCCCCTCTTTCCCTTTGGCCCCGTAGTAATAAGGCAACGATGCAGCTTTGATATATAAATAGTTGGGACTTACCATAGTGAGATGATAAGATGGTGCGACAGGGTAGTAATAACCTATACTCTGTGGCCTGGTCAGGACAAGGAAGGTGGGCTAGCGCGGGTATCCAACCATGGCAGGATATCGACCTGAAAAAAAGAGGTCAAGGATTTAACTTGCATGCTGCACTCCATATATTTGATTGGGGGAGAATGACTATTGTAAAATAAACCGGACGGCGCATATTGCTAGCCTCTATGGGAGTTTGGCTGAAGGTACTCAACTGTGGTTTGGTGGCTCTCTCGGCTGGATGAAATATTGGTGCAGACCAACAGTCCCCAAACTTGGAATGAGGCGAATTTTGCATTATCAAGTGTTCCTAATTTCTTCATGCTGGGCATTTCGCGTTGCAGCTTGGCCCCGTAGGCGGAAGTCCTATCATTTCCACCATTCAGGTAGCCTCTGTTGTTTCAAACCTAAAATAGAGGTCAAGAGATGTTCCAATATTTGGGATTTCATTGCCAAAAGGTACGCAGAAGCGTATTTAAAGGATGACCAGATTGTACGTATCCATAGGTCTATTTTCAAGGAATCTAATGCCCGAATGTGTGGGTTTCGCAAATACTGTAAGAGCGAAGGTGGTTTTCAAGCCTGTATTTGGAGAGTAGGTAGACCGCATACACTGGCATACTGGCGGGGCATACAATTAAATCAAAGACCAATACTTCGTAGTTACTCAAAATTCAAAGTACTTTGCAAAGTCTCAAAAGCCTCGAAGCTGAGACGGTTTTGAGAGGGTCCGTGCTCCCTTCCGCAACGTCACGTGTATGGGTGTCAGGTGACCTTCTTAATCATATTAAAGGGTTTTATATTATCCGATAAAAACACGTGATATTCAAATCCCGGCACAGCGATGGAAGTGACGCTCGAATTGGAAGGACGGCAGAGAAGCAACTATCACGAACGACTGGCAGATTGTCGCATTTCTGAACTCGGAGATCTGGTGGGATTATTAAGGTGTGTTAAATACGGTGAATTGTGCCATATTGACTCTTTCTAATTCTATTTTGCAGTAGAATACCAATCGAAGTCCCTCCATCATGTCTTCAACCAACAACCACCCTATCAAGGTGCCTCCGGGGCCGCCGTTGTACAGATTTGCCGCAACTGCTCTTGGTGCAAGCATGTGGTTTTGGGTATGTTTTGCCCGCAATCTATATTCGAAGCTGTTAAAAGAGCCGAATTGGGCTGCTGGTGTACCAGTGTGTTGAGAAGCTAACACGGCACGTTCAAACTAGTTAATGTATCGCGCAAAGAAAGACGGCCCTGTTCTCCTTGGCTGGAAGCACCCTTGGGATCATTAAATTACGGAGTACTCTCGGCGCATTTCTTCGGTCCTCTTTTACTGCCCGGCTATATTTTATCGAAAAGGAATCCAAGTGGTATTTTCCCTGTGGCGCCCGCACTCCGTTAAGTTCTGAGATGGTAGTGTGAAGCAAGAGCAAAGCCCTGTTGGTAGGACTGCTCGCGCGGGAATTCTACTATAACTTGCGATAACATTTTGTATCACCAAGAATAAAGTTTTCTGCGGTCCATGTGTTGTATATATTTCATAGAAAACATCGTTCAATGGCACTTTTAGCTTACGGATACTACACGATATGGCAACGATAAGGGATTTCTCAACCAGAAGAATTCAGTTACACTATCTATCGGACTTTCAACCATTGCCCTCTATTCAAACTATACATGTTTGGCAAAAAGGTATCAAAGCACGAATCGTAGAAACAATGCAAGCAAGTGGTACCCGCTATATGTGCAAAAATATGAACCGAAGTCTATATATACTAAGCCCGATAATCTGTCATTGACCGCCCTCAAGCAGGACCTTGTATCGACGGCGTTGCTTTTTTGTATGTGGACGTAACCAGCGATTTAAGCGTCCAATGCCACGTGCAAGTTTGGGGAATATGTGGTTCTCACAAACCCACGCGGCTGCAAAACCACCCAATGCAAGGATTAAAATCCAGGTCTTGAACTCAGGAGACATGTATGTAAGCTCCATCAGCTTGTACAGCCATTTGGCGGGTTGGAAGAGCATATAAGAAGAGAAGAGGAGAATAATAATGATTGTGGCCACGAACGGAACTAAAAGATCGCATTAGGTACTGGCAGTTGCTTTAGGGTCAATTTAGATGAAGGAAACATACCATTAGAGGTTGCTGGCTTTCGGAATGGCTTGCCAGCACTCAGAACTACACCTGAGAATACATACTGGTAGCAAGAGACAAGGAACAGAGCGGTATTTTGTGAGTTCTTGATGTTGGTATCCTCATGACTAATTTTTGGCGGGATATACCTAAGAGTCGTCAATACTATATGAAGAATAAGGGCAACGGTTGAAAAGTACATAGTCCTTACCATTCAGGAATTTGGACAGTCTCATAAGCAGTGGCTTGAATGAAGATGCATATAAGAATTTGTCCAAGGAGAGGAGTCAAGACCTTCCGTGAAACAAGATTTGCAGTTGGTCTCTTGCGGCATAGAACTGGACTGGGACCAATCCACCCCACTATGAAGAGTTAGTCAGGTATTGTATCCATTTTAGTGTCGGCATTGACTTACTGAATATAGCCACAGGCAAAATTATCACCAGGTCAATGTAGAGAAACTATACCCATAGAATTAGAACCGCTTGAATAAACAAAGGGGAAATCATTGAACTTGAAGACTTACCTGGAAATCCCCCAAATTCGAAGCAGTTGCGTAAAGGAAGCTGACAGAAGTAAACTGAATGGCAGAGTAAAGACTCATGTACTTGAAACAGCAAAAGCTCGTAACCAACGCTGCTCTTCCTTCCCTAGATATCTATTAGCGGAAATCGAATAGATTGATAGTAAGTGCGTTGACATACCTGATGAGTTTTGGAACGCATGATATATCAAATATCCTACTAGTAAATGGAGCAGCAACTGAAGCCTCTGCTTCAGAAAGAGATATGCCCACGTCTGCAGCCTTAAGAGCACCGCAGTCATTGGCACCATCCCCGCAGAATCCACAACCGTAGTCAAGAGATTGAAGCTTCTCAACAAGCTCATGTTTTTCATCAGGGGACATCCGAGCAAAGACTTGGCCACGAACGAGCATCTATTCTATCTTAGCGGCATTGTTCATACACAAAGAATCATGAAGAGAGCAGAACGTACCCTATTCAGCACCTCTTCGGAGCCATAGTCAACAACCCAACGGAACACATCTCCAGTTACTGCAATGGCGTAGTTCATTTTATTGTAGTGATTATAAGGAACGGACACATCTGTCACTGAGCTATGTGGAAGCGGCTATTGGAGGTTAGATAAGAAGAGAAAACCGGAGGGTTCCGGCAGAAACAAGGGCTGAGAGCTATACCGTTAATGTATTCTCATCAAGCTGGTAATCGGGGTTATCAATGCTCTGCCAGCAAAGCCGAGCGTCCGGGTCCGAGGAACACCCTTGTTTCTCATTAGTGTATAACATCCTCCAAATAACTCAAAGCGAAATCTTACCCTCAACAAAGTAAGGAACAAAGCAAGGGGCGGCGCCCTCAACAAAGCCACACTCCCTTGCAACGCTGACGGCTGTCAAAATATTATCACCCGTACACATTACACTGCGAATACCGGCTTCATGTAGCTCGGTAATAACACCCTTCGAAGTAGGCTTCAGTTTGTTCTCAAAGATGATGAAGCCAATAAATTCAAGGTCTGATTCGGCATCCGCCCTACTCATGGAAAATATGTCTCGGAGTGAAAACTGCGGGATATGTTTGGTTGCACAGGCAATAACTCGGAACCCGCGATGGGTATAGTAATTCAGGAGCTCAGAAAAGTCGGGTGGTACTTAGATTGAGAGTTAGCAATAGAAAGCATGCATGCTCAAGCGCATAAGTACTAACAGCTTTTAGGAATGCATATATCTTTCATGCACTCTGGGGCTCCTTTAACGAATATGTCAACTCCATCACTACCTGGTTGGCGTACTACAACACTAGCTCGGCGGAGTTGAGAAACAAATTCAAAAATGCGAAGGATGGATAACTCTGTAGCATTATTTGCTTCCTAGGCATCATGTTAGAATTGCACTCACGAATCCTAGTAATAATAACGAACTCACAGGCATTGGTCCGGCGTCATTTGGAGGAGCAAAATTGAGCGGAGATCTTGCAATAGATGGGGAGATATTTTCATAATCCTCATATACTTCTGCAGTGTTGTGGCTACCTTCTTCGTAGGACCAGCTTGTAAATTCAAACATCTTAACATCCAGAGGGTCGCCTATTAGTTCCCCGTCTATCATTCTTAGCGAATGGCAGGTCGCCATGGTGTAAAGAACGGCCGTATTTGGGCCGTAATCCTGGGTAGGATCCCGATCAGAGCGTAACTGGGGTAAAATGAGTGAGGCTTCTGTTAGAAGATCGCTGAACCTGTATTTAAAGCTCCATTAGTTAACATCTTGATGTTTACAGTAGGGAAACCCGCCTTTGTTCCCGTTGATGACTGAGTCTAACCCCGAGTACATCAAGGCCATCTTCAGTTAAAGTTCCAGTCTTATCAAAGCAGACAACATCGAGCTTTCCGGCAACGTTGACCCTATCAAAAATTAGTAACATGTATACAAAGAATTTCCTGGCTTAAGGCTACCTTTGTGGACTTATGCAGAATATCTGCTGGGATTTGAGCCTGGATATGGCGAAGTTGATTCCAATTGTAAGAGTCGCCGGTAAGGCTGGAGGCACAACAATGGTAATAAGGTCAAGTGCCCGAACAATGATTGTGTGCCAAACAATCTAAGAAAAATATTAACTACGATTGCCAATCGGGGCAAGGACAAAATTCTCACCTTTAGACGAATGAAATTGACAAACGAAACAATAAATCCAACAGCTGCAACGGTAGCCATCACGGAAATGTACCGGAAAGAGTCCTGATAGAATTTGAAACCTGATGGTTTAGGGAACAGCATTGACCTAACAAGGGCACCCTTCGTAGTGTTGAAGCCTGTTCGCACAACCATTGCAAGAGCAGCCGCTTCATCATCTGCGGGATCTTGGGGTCGTCTAGCACGAATAAGCTTTGTGCCACAGAATAGGAAATGCCTGGCAACTCCTGGATCAACCGAAGTTGCAGCTAGATTTAGCTGGGCTAGAGAATGGTCAGTTACAGGAAATTTTGAGACGGGGACAGATTCTCCTGTTGGAAATTATTAGCTAACTGTATCTGGGATAAGAAGATAGAAAGGTAGCTCGAACCTGTTAGCATGCTCTCGTTGACAATGCAGTCACCAGAGAGTAGGAGGCAGTCACAGGGTATTTGAGTTAGAGATGGGTCGGAAATCTCGAATACGTCTCCAGGTATCAGCTCAGTTGAAGGTACAGTCGTCCCTATTAGTAGGCAAGAAACATTAGGATTAGGTATAAACCTGGAATCCCAGTCAACCTACAGAATCCGCTTCTTAACACTCGTATCTCGCACTCAAAGTGTGCAATCTCACGCAGACGTCGCATAGTCTAAAACGTTAGTATGTAGATAACCGGCAGGTTGTCTATATAAGAGGAGTAACGTACTGATCTAGTTTCGATGGCGGTTGCCGTTATGCTGAAAACAGAGATAAAGAAAATACAAGTGGCATAATAGTAGTATTCATCCATTGACCAAAGGGTCAAGCTCGCAATCTGGAAGATGTAGAAAGGGTGGAATGCCTGGCGAGATATTAGTTCGGTGAAAAGAGTGGTCAAGATAATAGGGAAAACATACTTCATCCAGCAGTATCTGTGGAATAGTCTTGGCCTGGATATCAATAATATTTGCGCCGAACACTTGCTCCCGGCTCTCTCTTTCGTCTGCATCCAACCCACGGCGTAGAAGCTTCACATCAGCCCATGCAGGGTCCGCCCAAGTCCCGCTAATACTAAACCTGTCTTGTACGGGTTGATAGAAAAACCGAACGTAATGATAATCCAGATATCTTAAATTTGGCATTATAGGATCATCTTCATACTCGTAGTTAGCAGCAGTACCTTCTTTGTTTCCCCTCCCAAAAACGGTAGAGAGTTGGCGCCCGTACGGCTGGTTCTGGACATCCTGGATAGTGAATTGGCCCCATTGGTTTTCAATAGCGACCCATTGGCACTTATACAGTGGCGTTGGAGTACCTATCAGTGACACTCGCCATTTCGGGACCCATCTAAAGATGAGATAGCCGAGACCACAGGTGAAAACGCAAATGGCAAGGTACGTAGCCAAGCCGGCCACGCTGGTTGAGAACCCTGCAATGGCGGCCGTAAGGTCCTCGGAGACAATGTATATCTTCTGGCTGATAATACCGTCTGATGTCTTCCCTCCACGAGGGTGGTCCGTGGAAGATGCACGGCGCCAAAGCAAGGGGTCTTCAGCAGAGTCATGCGAAGGGGTCGGGCCAAAATAACTCGAGGGGCGGAAGGGAGTTTCAACATCGGCTTCTTGGTCATCATCATGGCCTCGCTCAAGGGCGTGATCATCATGCTCGTCCGAACGAATTCGATGGATACGTAGGTCCCCGTTTTCAAGCTGGTCCGGTTCAATAACCGCTTCCTCGTCGCGATCATCCGGCCATACAAAGGATCCGTTATTCTCCTGAAAGTAGGTAAAACTAACGTTCGATTCACGACGGGAACGACGGCGCACGAAGGATGCAACGCTTGAGGGAATGCTCTCAGATATAGGGCCGGCAAAAACCTGAAAGTATGGTCATTAGCCAGTTCTTTTCCTCCCGAAATGCAGGGATCGTCCAGCTCACTTCTTCTTGTGCCATTTCTACGTCGGACAACAGGCTCGTCCTATTAAGTCATTAGCTTATATTATCATCTCAAAACAAGATGGGTAACGAGAACGGTACCTGCTCCGCATGAAACTGCTGCGGTAGATGCTCTGCGGTCGAGGCTGACCATGGTGGTCCTCGCCGTTAATATGTTCGTCATCCATCTAGGGCAGCTCGAGAGCGCACGCTGCATCCTATCCGGCCCAAGTAGATGTCTCCAGGTGCTATAGATCAAGCTCGAGGGCGTAAAACAACATTCTTCAAGCTTTCCAGAGCTTCAACCTTGATGAGCATGCTCGCCAAGTCACGGGGTCAGGGATCTTATCTCCACGTGATGTGGCTTTCGATAAGCCCTGAAGCTTGCAAGTTGCGGGACGGAGATAAGAGACGACAAAGAGGACGAAAATGAGGATAGTGGCAGCGAGGGGAGCCAGAAGAGAGGGAATGGGTAAGTCAGCTCTATAGAGAGAGTGAGAAGACGAAGATAGGCTGGATAAGTCCCATGCTTCGTAACTGTGGACGATAGGCTACGCCTTAGTTTGCTGACGAGCCCAGCATGAACCCCTGGTGAACACCCAGGCCGCTCAGCCGGTACGTACCCCAGAGTCAAGAACTGCAGCTAACCAACTAATTCTCCATGGCTGGCCTTCAAAATCCACTTCTCTCAGCGAGTGAGCTATGGGATCATCTCTTTGGATGGTGTCTCCTCTCTGGCCCACCAGTTCCACTGTAACTATTCTACTGATGGAAATTCATGGAATTGATGGTGGTCAACAACACCACATGTCTGGGTCGGGCTGTGGGAGGCATTTCAGGGACGGTCTAGACAGTGGTTTAATTCCCGCTTTGGCGAGAATGATGTGATAGCTATCACCAGGACGGATGGAAGGGACGCGTACCAACATTGTTTGGACGCCGGAGAGTATGTTATCGCACAGTAGCTGTCATTTAGGGCTTAGCAGGGGACTATCAGCAGCCTCGCAGTGCTCTTGGTGTAGCTCGTCCGTACGGAGAATAAGTGTCTGTCATACCGTGCTATCTAACTAGTTATCAACTGTCTGTACACGCCTGTCGATCGGACCGGGGCCGCCCAACGGATAACTAACCAACACGGGCGTACAAGCCTAGCAATCAACCATCACCGTCGTCGCCGTCGTCGCCTCGCTTCTCTCTTCCAGTGCAGCCAGTCAGTCCATCGGCCATCCTCAAGTATCAAAAAGGCCGCTTGCTGTCGATGTCTGACACGCCAAGCCTGGCTTCCCGATCCGTCGTAGTCTCTTCCACGCCAAAAGGAAAAAAAGTAGCCCACCAAAGGTAAATCTGCTTGATAAGTCTTCAACGCTGAAAAATACAACCACCGCCTTCTCGCTCGCTCCCTCGCTCCCACCACTCGCAACGCCTCGCACGTCGTCTCCAGCCTGCTCGTACGTGTCCTCTGCTGCCCGCTACCACGATGTCTGAGCCGATCAGAAGCAAGAAGGCTGAGGTGACCGCACCGTAAGTGTTATCTGATGCGAAGTTGTGCCCCCCCGTCAAGACCAGACGGCCTGGCTGACCGTACTTTGAAGGACCCCTCAGAACACGCCCGCAAACCATGCCCCTATTTCTTCACACGCCCAGCAACCTGGCATCGCCAGCATCAAAGAAGGTGTGTACTCCCGCTCGTGCTGACCTGTCTGTCATGGGTACTTTTCTCTTGCTGTCCAGCCAAAGAATGAGCTAAATCGTTTCATGTTTGGTGTAATAATCCCCCATGTTACAACCCGCTGATAAGTCTCTATAGAGGGCGGCCTTGACCGAGCGGCTGCCGCCTCAATCTTCGCACAGAACCCCGGGCTCGTTTCTATGATCCAGGGCAAGCTCGGATCGATTATTGGACGCTCATCTGGCTACATCGAATCTCTCCCGGCCTCTGTTCGTCGCCGTGTCGCGGGCCTCAAGGGCATCCAGACCGAACATGCCAAGCTCGAAGCCGCCTTCCAGGAAGAAGTCCTGCAGCTCGAGAAGAAGTACTTCGCCAAGTACACCCCGCTCTACCAGCGCCGTTCTGCCATCGTCAACGGTGCTGCCGAACCTACCGATGAGGAGGTCGAGGCCGGCAAGCGTGACGAGGATGAGGAGGAAGATGAGAAGAAGGAGAACGAGGCTAAGCAGCTTCCAGTTGAGTCTGAGGAGACACCTGCCAGTGGTATCCCAGAGTTCTGGTTATCCGCCATGAAGAACCAGATCTCTCTTGCCGAGCTTATCACCGACCGAGACGAAGGTGCCCTCAAGGAGCTAACGGACATTCGCATGGAGTACCTTGACCGTCCTGGCTTCCGACTCATCTTTGAATTCGCCGAGAACGAGTTCTTCACCAACAAGACCATTGCTAAGACTTATTACTACCAAGAAGAGAACGGATACGGCGGTGACTTCATCTACGACCACGCTGAGGGTGAGAAGATTGACTGGAAGGAGGGCAAGGATCTCACCGTCCGGATAGAGAGCAAGAAGCAGCGTAACAAGAGTACGTATTTTTAGTTCCTTGAACTGTCCAGACTGCCGCTGACTATAGTTATATAGACACCAAGCAGACCCGCGTTGTCAAAGTCACCGTCCCCACAGAATCTTTCTTCAACTTCTTCTCTCCCCCCAAACCCCCACAGGAAGACGACGATGACGTTGCATCTGATATCGAGGAACGTCTTGAGCTCGACTACCAACTGGGTGAAGACATCAAGGAGAAGCTCATTCCCCGTGCTATCGACTGGTTCACAGGTGAAGCCCTACAATATGAAGAAATCGAGGACAACTTCGAGGGCGAGTTTGAGGATGATGACGAAGATGACGACGAGGACGACGACGATGAGGAGGACGAGAAGAGAGGTGACGATGATGAGGACTCCGATGAAGAAGTATGTTACCTCCTTGACACTTCAGACAAGTGCCGTACTAACCCAGCTCTCCAAATAGGATGACGGCTCAAAGCCCAAGAAGGAAGCTACTGAGTGCAAACAAAGTTAAAGAACGAAATTCAATGACTACAAAAAAAATCAGGGACACAAAAAGAGAAAACAAGAAACATGTTGATTAAAAAAGAACGATATCAGCTCAACTGAACACACAAAAAAGCCAAAAAAGATTACCTTAAACAATCGGCCTACAAACAGGATGTCCCTCGGCCACTCTACTGTGCCCCTACCCCCGCCCCTTCCTTACCATTACCCATCCTACCCCATATCCGACGTCTCTTGTCTCTCCCCAACACCTCCCCAGCACCCTCCTCTATCCCATCAACCTTCTTCCTTTTTTTCTTTTCTTTTCTTTTCTCTCTCTCTCCAATGAACTGCTGCATTGTACTTCGTTCCGCGCCTTGTTTTTTACCTTACGTCCATGCTAATCCCATCATCCCCCATCTCCCATTTCCATAGTTGAACGCTTCCCCTTTTTATTTCTTCCATGTGCATCTTCCTCCCCGACACTTCCTTACTCATTTCTTCATCCATCAACTCATAGTAACTTTAATATTAAAATATCAAGATTTTCTCCTCCCCCTTTTTTCCCTTCCTATTCTTCCCCCTGCATTCCCCCTATATTTTACCTCCTTGACTACGGCCGTTACCTTTCCTTTATACGATACGACATTACTCATCCCAACCCTTTAGCATAGATAAGCTGTGCCTTGAGTAGCTGGGGAGTAGGGATGAATAGACGATGGGCGGAATGGACGGCGATAGTGATAGTGATAGGCGTCGGAGGTTTGTTGAAGGACCATGCCAACAACGACAATAACCGCAGGGTAACCGAACAGCATCTTTCATATTTACTTACCTAGAAACACAGCGAGGATGAGGGACAGCTACATGTACTTGAGTATGGTTTGATTCTCTGTGTTTGATATGTTTCCTTACTTGGGCATAAAAGTGTTCTGTGTCTGCCTTCGACCGCTCTTCGTATTTTATTTTTTGACAGCACAGCGCGAAATGATGGTGTGAAGCACTGCCTGGCACCACTCGAACCGAGCACGTAGGCGTAGACGTTGATACGGTAGTATTGGTAGTTACTTCAACCTCGCCTCTACTACCTGGCCCCTGGCTCATCCATTATCTCTCACAGACTCATTCATCATCCCTTTGAAAGGTTCGGAGCACGTCCACCCATAAGAAAGTGCCGTTCACGTGACTATCACAACTCACCGAGCTAAAAACCTCATAATTCCTTATTTCAGGGGCTTGAAGAAGTTCGACCACCGACCCTCGACGCTACTTTTGATGAGAGAACCTGCTAATCTGGCCTTCCAGTCCGTTACCCTTCCCGTCTGTGTTCTCGTCTTCGTCTCTGTTCCTTTATTCTTAACGGCCCCTTTGCGAGAGGCACAGAGACTGACAACGCCTCGAGCTGTCGTCATTCTTCTCTTGCAGCATCTACACTTCTACCTGGTGGCCAGCGATCTTCTTTTAATAATACCTCCCTTTTTTTTTTTTTGTTAGCACGCCTATTGCTACTCTACCCTAATTCTGGAACCAGGAGACTAGCAGAGGAAGCCATTAAAGCGCCGTCGAGAAGCTGTCTTCACACGCTTTTTTGTAGGTGTTAACGTCTGTCTGCACGCCAGCCAACCATGCTCTAGACCCGCCACGCCGGGCTACGTGAAACGCTTTTTCTTCGCCTGCTTTTCTTGATATCGATATCGTTTGACCATAGCCGTGACGTTGACCGTGATCGTGGTCTTTTCTTCGTGTTATTTACTAGTTTTTTAATCCGGCCGGTACCAGAATACACGAGATGGTGCATACATATGAGGTCGGCACGCGGGCGTGGCAACCAGACCCGACTGAGGGATGGGTTGCGTCTGAGGTGACTGAGAAGGTGGTGGACGGGGAGAAAGTGAAGCTGGTGTTCACCTTGGAGAATGGAGAGGTGAGTTGTGGGACAGAGCTCTGTCTCAAAAAAAAAAAAAAAAAAAAAAAAAAAAAAAAAAAAAAAAAAGTCTTGTCATGCCGGAATTATTGACCTAATAATGTTGTGTTTGTATAGACGAAAACAACGGAGACAACTCTGTCGGAGCTGGATTCGGACACAAATGAAAAGCTCCCGCCTCTGATGAACCCGACGATGCTAGAGGCCAGTGAAGATTTGACGAACTTGTCCCATTTGAACGAGCCGGCTGGTATGCTCTGTTTACAACCACTCGAGTAAATTAGGGTACTTACTTACAATGTCCACAATATAGTCCTCCAAGCTATTAAGCTACGGTACTACCAGAAGGAAATTTACACATACTCCGGTATCGTGCTTATAGCAACCAACCCGTTTGCCCGTGTTGATTCTCTCTATGTCCCTCAAATGGTTCAAGTTTACGCCGGGAAGCAACGAGCTTCCCAGGCTCCTCATCTCTTTGCTATCGCAGAGGAGGCTTTTGCGTGAGTTGCACCTCGGAATTTCAAATTTGCCTACACGTAGACTAACTGTTGATCAGTGACATGTTGAGGGACACTCAAAACCAAACAATTGTCGTATCTGGTGAATCTGGTGCTGGAAAGACCGTCAGTGCAAAGTATATCATGAGATATTTTGCTACCCGAGAAACATCAGATAAACCTGGCTCATACTCTACCGGACGGGCCGACTCTATCAGTGAAACTGAGGAACAAATTCTAGCCACCAACCCCGTCATGGAGGCCTTCGGTAACGCAAAGACAACCAGAAATGATAACTCGTCACGATTTGGCAAATACATTGAGATTCTTTTCGATAACAGAACGAACATTATTGGTGCGAAAATCAGAACATACCTTTTAGAACGGTCGAGGCTGGTCTTTCAACCCTTGAAAGAACGAAATTACCATATTTTCTATCAACTCATTGCCGGTGCTACCGACGCTGAGAGGCAAGAGCTGGGACTGTTAACCGTTGAGGAGTTTGACTACTTGAACCAGGGAGGAACACCTGTCATTGATGGAGTCGATGACAAGGCCGAGCTCGAAGCTACCAGAAAATCCCTCACCACCATTGGATTGGATGATGACATACAGGCCTCTATTTTTAAGATTTTGGCTGCGTTGCTTCACCTTGGCAATGTCAAGATTGTTGCTACCAGGAATGATTCCTCTCTCGAGCCTACTGAGCCATCTTTGGTCCGAACTTGTGAGATGCTGGGTATTGATGCTACTGAATTTGCTAAATGGACCGTCAAGAAACAGCTGATTACCCGAGGCGAGAAAATTATTTCAAACCTCAACCAGGCCCAGGCTCTCGTAGTCAGGGATTCAGTCGCTAAATTCATCTACTCCAGCCTCTTTGACTGGCTGGTGGAGACAATCAACCGCAGCTTGGCAACCGAAGAAGTTCTTAGTCGAGCTACCTCATTCATTGGTGTCCTCGATATCTATGGTTTCGAGCATTTCGCAAAGAACTCCTTTGAGCAGTTCTGTATCAATTACGCAAACGAGAAGTTGCAGCAAGAGTTCAACCAACATGTTTTCAAGTTGGAGCAGGAGGAATATGTTAGAGAACAGATTGATTGGACTTTTATCAACTTCTCTGACAATCAGCCATGCATTGACCTCATTGAGGGCAAACTGGGTATTCTAGCTCTGCTTGATGAAGAGTCTAGATTGCCAATGGGTGCTGACGAACAGTTCGTCAACAAGCTGCACCACAACTTCGCTGCCGACAAGCAAAAGTTCTACAAGAAGCCCCGATTTGGCAAGTCCTCTTTCACCGTCTGCCATTATGCCATCGATGTCACCTACGAGTCAGATGGCTTCATTGAGAAGAACAGGGATACAGTCCCCGATGAACACATGGAGGTTCTCAAGAACTCTTCCAACTCCTTTATTAGGGATGTTCTTCAAGCTGCTACGGCTATTCGCGAGAAGGATTCGGCCTCTATGTCCTCCAGGGCCTTTGCAGCCCCAGGAAGGAAGATCGGAGTTGCCGTTAACCGTAAGCCAACGCTAGGAGGCATCTTCAAGTCCTCCCTCATTGAGCTTATGAACACTATAAACTCCACTGATGTTCATTACATCCGGTGTATAAAGCCCAATGAAGCGAAGGAAGCCTGGAAGTTTGAAGGTCCAATGGTTCTCAGTCAGCTTCGAGCTTGTGGTGTTCTTGAAACCGTGCGGATAAGTTGTGCCGGTTACCCAACCCGATGGACTTATGAAGAGTTCGCTCTCAGGTATTATATGCTTTGCCACTCTTCACAATGGACATCTGAAATTCGTGCCATGTGTCATGCTATTCTATCGAAAGCCTTGGGTGACATCACTCAGCAACAGCAAGACAAGTACCAGCTTGGTTTGACTAAGATCTTTTTCCGAGCTGGTATGCTTGCTTTCCTAGAGAATCTCCGTACTTCCCGCTTGAATGAATGTGCCATTATGATTCAGAAGAATCTTAAATGCAAGTTCTACAGACGGAAGTACCTTGCCATGCGTGGTTCGATTCTTGCCTTCCAAGGCCTCATTCGCGGATTCTTGGCCAGACAGCACGCCGAAGGAGCCCGCCAAGTCAAGGCTGCAACCACTATCCAGCGAGTCTGGAGAGGCCAGAAGGACCGCAAATACTACCACAAGATCAGAAACAATGTCATTCTCGTGGAGTCGTTGGCGAGGGGTTACCTTTGCCGTCGAAACATTATGGACAGTATCCATGGAAACGCTGCGAAAGTTATTCAACGGTCTTTCAGAACATGGCGACAACTCCGCAAATGGAGAGATTACCGCCGCAAGGTTGTCATTGTACAGAACTTGTGGCGTGGTAAGAAGGCTCGCAGACAGTACAAGACTCTGCGTGAGGAGGCTCGAGACCTCAAGCAGATATCATATAAGCTTGAAAATAAGGTCGTGGAGTTAACCCAATCACTCGGATCTCTTAAGCAGCAGAACAAGTCTTTGACTTCCCAGCTTGAGAACTATGATGGGCAGATCAAATCCTGGAGAAGCCGGCATAACGCTCTTGAAGCCAGGTCCCGCGAGTTGCAGGCTGAGGCTAACCAGGCTGGCATCACTGCTGCCCGCTTGACAGCTTTGGAGGAAGAAATGTCGAAACTTCAGCATAATCATAACGAGTCACTTGCAACTATCAAGAAACTACAAGAGGAAGAAAAGTCAACCCGAGAAACTCTCCGTCTTACCAGCCTTGAACTTGATAATGCTAAGAATGCCATTGCTGTCCACGAACAAGAGAAGACCTACCTCCGCCAGCAAGTTGTTGAGCTGCAAGATGAGCTTGAATTTGCTAAGAGGTCTGCCCCTCTCAATGGACTCAATGGGGAACTGAATGGAACCGCCCCTACTCAGCCAAGCTTATCTGGCCTGATCAACTTGGTTGCTTCGAAGAAACCCAAGCCAAAGAGACGCAGCGCTGGGCTCGAAAAGGTTGAAATCGACCATCGTTTCAGTGGTGCTTATAACCCAAGGCCTGTCTCTATGGCCATACCCACCGGTGGAGTCGGCCGCAATGATTTCCGAAACTCAGCATTTGCTCCTGGGATTGACTCTGTGGAAATTGAGCTTGAGAACCTCCTCTCCGAAGAAGATGCGCTTAACGACGAAGTCAGCATGGGTCTCATCAAAAATCTCAAGATTCCTCTCCCCAGCTCTGATCCACCACCCACCGAGAAGGAAGTCTTGTTCCCCTCCTATCTCATCAACCTGGTCACATCCGAGATGTGGAATAACGGTTTCGTGAAAGAATCCGAACGCTTCCTTGCCAATGTCATGCAAGCAATCCAGCAGGAGGTCATGCAACATGATAGTGAAGATACGATCAGCGCTGGTGCGTTCTGGCTTTCCAACGTCCACGAAATGCTTTCATTTGTCTTCCTTGCGGAGGACTGGTATGAAGCGCAAAAGACCGACAACTATGAATACGATCGTCTCTTGGAGATCGTCAAACATGATTTGGAATCCTTGGAGTTCAATATCTACCACACATGGATGAAGGGATTGAAGAAGAAGTTATTCAAGATGATTGTCCCAGCCATCATCGAGTCACAGTCCCTTCCTGGTTTCGTCACAAGTGAGACGAACAGGTTCCTTGGAAAACTTCTACCTTCCAACAACAACCCTGCTTATAGCATGGACAATCTCCTCAGCCTGTTGAACAATGTTTTCAAGGCTATGAAAGCATACTACCTTGAAGATTCCATTATTACCCAGACAGTCACTGAGCTGCTCCGACTTGTTGGTGTCACTGCATTCAATGACTTGCTTATGCGACGTAATTTCCTTTCATGGAAGCGTGGTCTGCAAATTAACTACAATATCACTCGTATTGAGGAATGGTGCAAGAGCCATGATATGCCAGAAGGCACCCTACAGCTCGAACATCTAATGGTAAGCATCCGTCCCCATATTCGATTCGGCCCTTTGCTAACCGTATCTCCCATTACAGCAAGCAACCAAGCTACTTCAACTAAAGAAGGCCACTTTGAACGATATAGAGATCATTCAAGATATTTGCTGGATGTAAGTGCTATAACAACCGCTCTGCTGTCATGGGATAAATTACTTACACATACGTTTACAGGCTCTCACCGAACCAGATTCAAAAACTTCTCAATCAGTACCTTGTTGCTGATTACGAACAGCCTATCAATGGTGAAATCATGAAAGCTGTTGCGTCTCGTGTAACTGAGAAGAGCGATGTCCTGCTTCTAACTGCAGTTGACATGGAGGACAGTGGTCCTTACGAGATTGCTGAACCCAGAGCCATTACTGCACTTGAGACGTATACACCATCCTGTATGTGCCACTAAGATACAGTCATTTTTCCCTACTCCCACGCTAACATGACCATAGGGCTGCAAACTCCTCGACTTAAACGACTCGCAGAGATTGTTTCTGTCCAAGCAATGGCCCAGCAGGACCGCCTTGACAGCCTAGAGATGGGAGAGCCACCAGAGGATTAAAGCCCCTGTGTCTCCATATATTGCCCATCGTAATGGTCAATGATCCTTCTTTGGCCCCCGCAACTTCGACTTGCCACCATCGACTTTATAGACATTGGAGTATTGCCTTTGCTTCAAAAGAACCCATCTAAAAAGCTTCCAGTGGACGCATGCCTCTCCATTTCAAAGGAGGCATTAATTATCCTTTTCTTTTTTCCTTTTCTTTTCCTTTGTTTCTTTCATTTGTTTGAGCCACGGTAATGTCTAACTCTTGTGACTATGTGATTCCCGATAAGGCCATATTACGTTTAACCATCTACTCCGTTCGAGATATTTTGGTTCCAGGGGTTTTTACTTCGTTTGGTCTCCCTCTAACGGATTTTATGCTCGTCTCTACTTCTTCACGTATCGTGGCCCTCTTATTCATACGCGTCTTTAAAGCGTTTAGAGACCTCCCACTGTTTTATCCTTCGCATCGGCCCATTGTTATGTTTCCTGTATTATATCTGTTGCACTTCACTTGCTTCCAAGTGTAAAATAGACGCTGCTTCGACGACTTTTACGGGCGAAACCTGTACGGAGTATATACCAGGGTTCCAGGCTCAGAAGAGATGTTTTGTTCAAATTCAGCACGAACATTGATGACAATATCTAGGATTTTTCCATGCCCAAGACAGGTGCGAAATTATTACCTACCGTCTACAAGCGACTGGTTATATTCAACTACGATCCAGTACAGTCCTCGTGAGCTTCGGATCGGGTTAATTTACACCTAAGCTGTAACCTTAGTCTAACTCCTAGTTAACTAGTTAGTGGGGGTCGCGGAAGTCGTAAAATATCAGTCATAGATTGTTCTTCCAGCGCCAACTTTCACTATCATATATATCTCTGTTCATTCTACGTATATCCAGATCCAAAGCAGGAAAAGCCGAGATGAAAAGCATCAACTTTGTCACAGGAAATAAAAACAAGCTCGCCGAAGTGCAGGCAATACTTGAAGATACCATCGAGGTCAAGAGCGTATCCGTCGATGTCCCTGAGCTGCAGGGAACGATAGAAGATATCGCAAGAGAGAAATGTCGTAAAGCTGCTGAAGCAGTGAGTAGCTCTGCATTTCATTTGTTTTCATTCTCAATAAGCCCTCGATTCCTTGGTGATTACTGACTTCATGATAAATAGGTCAACGGGCCTGCATTGACAGACGATACTGCACTAGAGTTCAATGCGCTTAACGGCCTACCAGGGCCATATATGTAAGGGTGTCTTAATTATACCCGTTTATTCCATTTTACTGTGATATTTGGATCCAGTGGTTAACATATATCTAGAAAATGGTTTCTCGAGAAGCTAGGCCATGTTGGACTCAATAAACTGGTAGAGCCGTACGAGGACAAGTCCGCTGTAACGGTTGCTACATTTGCGTTCTGTGCCGGACCCGGACAGGAGCCAATTCTCTTTCAAGGAAGAACTGAGGTGAGTGAGCTGTATGAAGATTGCTATTGTGATCTCCCCGGGAGCCCTACTTTTCATAAAAGGTAATTGGTAATATAAAGGGGTCGTCGAATTTATAGGTCATGTCTATAAGAGGCAAACCAGCCGCTGTGCTGCCCAGGGCTTTTGTATCTATTAAATATAAAAGCTCGGCCTTATGTTACCCTTTCGATGAATCGCAGGGCCCTTAGCGCTCAAAGATTGGGCAAGAATATTTGACAGACATAAAGCTGATAATAATAATCACTAGGGCAAAGTAGTTCCTGCTCGTGGGTCAAACCGTTTTGGTGAGTTGAGCAGTCCAGAATTACCCCGTATTATTTTGCACAGTCAGATGTTAACATTATCGATAACAGGTTGGGATCCGATCTTCGAATATGAAGGCCAAACATATGCCGAGATGGATCCAAAGTACAAGGTAACTGCACTTTCTGTTGTCTAATCTCTTTTTACCTATGACCGGCCGTTATGCTGACTGAATACACCTCGAAGAACACAATATCCCATCGATATAAGGCGCTGATGAAACTCAAGGCGTGGATCGAAGAACAGAAACAGCAGCAACAGCTTTAATTCTTCGGAAATCTTCAACCGCTGGGGCTTGAGGTTGCTGATAGCATGCTGGAGGTTACGAAACGAGTGCGGCCCTCAAGCTAATCAATCTGATCCTGTGGCATGCGATTGCTTCCAGGAACCTATCCACGATTTTATACGCTGGCAATTGCTCTCAATCGCATCGTCTGTCTCGCTTTCGAGTTCAACCACAATTTCCTCATCATAAGCTTCTCTGGCCTCCTCGAGTAGGACTCCGAAAATCTCGGCATCAAGGTTTTCTTGGAGCTTCTCCTCTGAATACGATCTATAGTTATAGAACAAGAATAGATATGTTAGTTAACGTTTTTCTCAGAAATTAGCTCGGAGATAACAGCGCTACCAACTCAGGATGCTGACTATTTCAAGCTTACCTTGCTGCCAGTCTATCGTAGTGGATGGCGGTTGACGGGCACCTTAACACCACTACAAGATCAATCCATGATTTTGGGAATAGGTCGCAGGCATGCCAGTCAATAAGATACCCGCCTTGTAATACGTCGGCTTCGATTTCGTCAAGCAACTAAGTTGGTTCATCAAATTAGTATCTAGTTGCAAATGAGCACACATATATTGAATACCTTGTCCTCGTCAACAATATGGCTTTTGAGCTTTTCGTCAAACCCATCGTAGCATCCCCGTTCTTTTGCGACTTGATTAATTGATAAGTGCTTCAATTCTGTTTCTTGCGCCAGCTGCTCGCAGTGAACAGTCTTCCCCACTCCGGGGGTTCCAGTGATAATTATATTTGGTGAAGTTCTCATACTCCTTGAGACTAAGTATTTCAGTTCCTTAATGCGATATATCCCTCTGGGCGAAGGTTGATCAATAACCAGGTAGATGTCTAAAATGCATCATTCAACGTGCTCTCTATGGTGGATTGATAGTCACAAAAATTTCCCCAAAACCCCGGCGCAAAAACTCAGTCACGTGAAGACGGCGACTGCCCAGGCCCGCGAATTCAGGTATCAACACCAATATAGAGACGACCAAACTATGTGTCATAAGCCCTGCCATTTATATTTATCAAAAATATATCAAATATATAATAGCACCCTGTCAAAATTTCAGCTAAAAATCAATCCCTATTTAATCTCAGATGTTGATTCCGATGTTGATGGTTCGAGCCTAGAAATGACCTGGTTAATACCCATCATCTCAAGGGAAACTCGGGAACATACATCAGCAGTTCAAAAGTGTCGAATTGTCGCAAATATCTGCTAGTTCTTCGAAAAGCTTTCAAATAATTTTCAGGTTTTGTAGTATGAAACTGTGTGCCAATCAGCTTTGAAGTTGCAGGTGATGTTCTGAACATTGGGTCAAAAACAAGAAGGTTAACGCCGCCGCCTTGTCGAACTTCAAAGCCAATAATTGTCATAGAATGACCTGATTGTTTTATGTGTCAGTTGATGGGACTCCAGAATTATCGAGAACCTCTTGGAAGACTGGGGTGGCATACCCTCATGCTGTAAGTATATCGGAGGGAGATCTGTCTGAACAACATGCTTTCCGGAACCAGATATCTTATGACCGAAGAAATATTCCGCCACTATCAAGTAGAGCACCTCAAAAGCCTTGTCATCTTGTGTCTCAGAACAGACTTTTGGGCGACACCTGCGCAAGTGTTAGTCATACATCTACAAGGCCCAAGAGTGTCAAGGCTGCACGTACGGTATCCCTAAATTCTGGAACAGTGCCGCAGCCTATTTCACATAATTCTGTGATTAGTATGGCCTATGCCTCCATAGTTTGTAGTGTATACTTACCTCAGGTGTTCCTATATACTTTCGCGTGCCCTTTATCCCCCCAGTCTCTGTCCGCCCATGGGTATTGAAACCATTATCCCACGCTTGTTCAATCATATCCTGTAGACTTAATATCGAAGGGGTCCTGCCTGGAAAGTGTTCACAGCCTGTTGAATTACTGTCCTTGATATAAGACACAAGCATCTGGATATTACGATATCCACAGAATCCGCCTTCTTTTGGCATTTTAAAGATATGCCGAACATTGGCACTGCAAAGGTAGGCTTGGTCTACCGAGGAATCTTGTTGGCAGAGCCGAGCAATAAACGGGATAAGGCCAGATGTTTCATTTGAGACGGTCTCAACTTTGCGTATTGTGCCGTCCGGGAATATCTTATTCTCCCGAGTAATAACAGGTCCATCTTCCAGCACCTTGCGCAACCACGAAGGCATTCTTGGTTCTCGGGCATAGGGCCCTAGCTCCGTAATCTAGATATCAAATCTGCGCGTTAGCAGGGGAGTCCAGACCCGAACAACAGCAACGCGCGTTGACCACAAAAAAAATATGAGCACCATACCCCGAGTTGGCCCGCACTCCTTGGTTTCTTCTTTTGCTTCGTAGCCTTTGCGTTGACTGGTGCATCTCTCTGCCGTTTCCCGTCTTGTTTCCCCAGCACCTTGCTCAGTGTGGGAGATAGTACTTCATCTTCTTCGATGTCTCTGGATAACTTCATGTCTGTGCCTTTGGTATCATAGCTTTTGATTTCTTCCAGAGCTAGACCCTCGGCGAGGTGTAGGTCTAGGTGGCTCATAAGCTGATCTTCAGTGACTGCCTCGCCGCAGTCAGTTGGGCAGTCAATATATTTGATATCTGTCCCCGCATCTTCATCAGTGTACAGTGGCGTGTCACCATGCCACCACTCTGGTTTTCTGGAAGATCCAATATTTGTATCTTCCTCTGTTTCTAGGACAGGTGAAGCACCATTTTCGGGGTGACAGAATTCTACATGTTGAGTCAAGAAGTCCGCGTCAGTGTCAGTGAAATCACAGAATGGACACGATAACGGTTCCGCGCCGTCCATTATGTTGAAGTGATATGTGGAAACCAGTAAATCTAGTCATCAAGTCGAGTAGCTAGGCATCAACATTCAGTTGACTGCTGTTGATATGCTTGTCCAAACATTGAATACTTGCAGCCAAGTTTATGACTGTAACTACCCAGACTAGCTGGTTAACTAACTAGTTACCCACTTTGATTGCGCGCCAAGTTACGGTCAACGACCTCGTTGAATGCCTAGCTAAACAACCATGCGCCATATTGGCTAAGTAAGCCTCCAGGCGCAGCTGATATCGACAGGAAACAAGTAAACGAAGGTTAGCATTTTTATGGCATCCCTTGCATACTTTATAATGATTTAAGGGCTTTAGAAATAGACAATATGATGTCACCGGCGTTATGACCTTTAAAAACCTACCAATTGTAAGATCGACATGATGCACTCTTATTTTGATATTAAATAATGGCGAATAAATACTCATGTCATAGTTACGAATTTCACGATCGCTGGAAGCGAGATGCTGTGGGGGTAAAAAAAAAAAAAAAAAAAAAAAAAAAAACCGAGGAGAGAACATGGGCTATTCATTTGTGTTTATCTTTTCCGCCTAACAGAGTATATTGCATGAGATATTAACTCCGACACAACAAAGGACTTCCAGCCGACCGACACACCCTGAACGGGCTGTTAGCAGATATATGGGTGAGCGAAGCAGATTGCCTGCCTTTCAATAGCCTTTCCGGATGCATTCCGGGCGAGTTTGCGGGGGAAATCCATTCCCGATAGCCTTTTATCTCAACGGGATATCGGTCATTTTTTTATCCACAGCCTCCAGGTACACTGAAATTAGCATGGCGGTGCGCCCGGATCATCAAGATTATGCGTCGTCCTGCGGGGTCTTAATCCTTGCGTGGTGGATTCAAAGTTCTGTCACCAGGAAAGCTAGGATCAACAGATCATAATAATGTCTAATAATGAATTGGGAAATCTCACTCAAGGAACACTCGCTTCTTGAGTGATTAACACGGCCAGGGTCAGTGATTGTTTATAGACGCAGCTTCGTATCGGCTGGCAGGACTGAGAGCACAAGTTGTTACGCTGAAGCCGCCTACGCACAGCGTCACGGCTTTCCACGGTCCGTCCCGGTTATCCCAAGTAAGCAAGCGTTGCGCAGGGATGGGTATCAATAGGAATGTTGGTAAAGCGCCCCGGGACCCGACGTAAGAGTCAAGTGCCTTTGCTTGATGGTCTGCCATGGGATCTCGCGTGGCCTCCAGTCCATATTGCCATCGATACCACGGGCCAGACAGCCCTCAGGGATCACTCAGAGTAAGTACAGCGGTTCATGCTTCCGTGTAAGAAATCCTCGTTGCATTCTCCTCGACCAGGGGCATTAGTTCGACCAGGGTCGTACGCGACCAAGCACTGCCCGCTGCAACATATAATCTCCATCTCTGCCCTGTCTCTCCCAGGCTGCTCTTTCATCGTATATCAAATTTGGCGGTTGTCGTTGCTTTGTCGTTGAAATTGCCTTCCCCCCTTCCCCGGCCTTTCCCAAAGAGGCAGCTGCTCTAAAACAAACCAAACAAACAGGTCAAACAAGGCAAACTTCCCCAAGTTGCTTATCGTCGCTGCATCCACGCTAGCCAAGATCGAGGTTAGCGCCAAATATTGCGTGATCCAGATCGGCGAAACATTCCGCAGTCGGAGCACGGAAAAACCCAAAGCGGTTAGTTCTGCCGCAGAAACGCGATTTTTGCAAGCCGAAAAGGTTATTTTCTTACGTAAGTCCCAATCTGCAAATTTCCCAAAGTTAAAAAAACCATTGAGTCAGCGCAAAAAAAAGTGAGATAAGCGGAGGAAAAGAACGAAGGACGAAAAAAAGCTGAACATCCGCGGCTTTTTCTTTTGGGGACAAGAAGGATGATAACACTTGGATTTTGATATCGTCTTCCTCCCTGCCACATTCTTTACTGTCGTTCATTTTCTGCCTTTGCCATTGTTGTCCTGGAGCTAAGATCCGAGCAGTCATACGAGACGAGACCGGCGGGGGAATTCTAGTACCCCCCACGAGCTTTGCTTCCGTTGCGAGCCATTGTATTTCACAACACCGCCATGAATGGTAATGGACATGTGGTGAACGGCCAAACGGCTGTCATGGCGAACGGAGTCCCGCGCACTCCTCCCTCAGACTGGGTTGTTCAAAAGTTCGGAGGTACAAGCGTGGGCAAATTCGCCCACCAGATTGTCGAGCAGGTCATCCAGTATGTCATACTCTTTTCTCGCATGACCTTTTCCCCCCATGAAGGCAGCATCATTGCTAACTGTTATTGTTTTACCTAGACCGAGCACCCTTACAAACCATGTTGCTGTAGTATGCTCTGCTCGAAGCAGTTCTTCAAAGGCGGACGGGACCACTAATCGGTGAGTCAAACGCAAGACGCACCAGGAGAGAGGTGGTGTGACTCCAGGAACGAGCTGCTAATATGACAATTCAATGTAGGCTCCTACGGGCAGCACGAGAAGCAGAGAATCCGCAATCCTCACAATACAAGACCCTCGTCGATATAGTACTGTCGGAACACATAAGCGTCGCAAACGATCTTATCCACTCCACCGACCTGAGATCCCAATTGGTTTCCGAGTTTGATGCGGAATGCCAACGGGTATTGAAAATACTAGAAGCTGCTCAAACACTTGGAGAAGTTAGTAGCAGATGCGTGGATATGGTCATAAGTGCCGGCGAGAAACTAAGCTGCCGACTCATGGCTGCATTGTTAAACGACCGAGGAGTTGGTGCTGCCTACATTGACTTGTCTGATGCCATAGACTTTGCTGCCGGCGTTCAAGTGTTGGATCAGGAGTTCTATGACCGTCTAGCCAAGCTCTTTGCCGAAAGAGTAAATGCCTACCCTGGCAAAGTACCTGTACTCACTGGCTATTTTGGCCTCGTTCCAGGAGGTCTCTTGGACAAGATTGGGCGTGGATATACTGATCTTTGTGCTGCATTGGTAGCTGTTGGATTGAATGCCCAGGAATTACAGGTCTGGAAGGAAGTGGATGGAATTTTCACTGCTGACCCTAGAAAGGTTCCCACGGCACGGCTACTCTCTGCTATTACCCCGGCAGAAGCGGCTGAGCTTACCTTTTATGGTTCGGAAGTTATCCACCCTTTCACCATGGAGCAGGTCATCCGGGCCAAAATACCTATCAGAATCAAAAACGTCATGAAACCGAAGGGTAGCGGAACCATAATATTCCCTGACTCACGCTCAGAACTAGAGCGAACCACACCCGGTCACGATCCCAAGTTCTTCCGCACACGAGGCCCTCACTTTTGGGCTCACAGCGAAGGCCCTAAACGACCAACTGCCGTCACAGCAAAACATAAAATTTTGGTTATCAACATTCACTCTAATAAACGATCGCTCTCACATGGATTCTTTGCTGGGATATTTTCTGTCCTTGACAAGTGGAGACTATCTATCGACCTTATCTCGACTAGCGAGGTACATGTTTCCCTGGCTTTACATTCGGAATTACCTCTTCTCAATGGTGTTGGCCGCGATGAATACCAAATCATCGACGAAGACCTTCGTGGGGCAATCCAGGACTTGCGAAGATATGGAACGGTAGACATTATACCCGAGATGGCCATTTTGAGTCTTGTCGGACAGCAGATGAAAAATATGGTTGGCGTAGCTGGTCGCATGTTCTCCGTACTCGGAGAACACAATGTGAATATCGAAATGATTTCACAAGGTATGACCGAATTTGCTGCTGAAGATCATATAGTCATTCGATGCTAACTTTGTGTTAATTAGGCGCCAGCGAAATCAACATATCCTGCGTGATAGAAGAACGTGATGCCGACCGAGCCATCAATATCCTTCACACCAATCTCTTCACTTTCCTCGAATAATCTGGCCTCTACAGAATAGGCTATTTGCATCATCTCAAGCGATATTTCATATGCCTTTAAAAAAATATTGGCCAGTTTCATTTTTTTTTTTTTTTTTTGTTCTTGTTTTCTTTCATCTTTTTTTGATACCCCTTCCATTATCTAACAATTTCTTCTTTGACTCTTCCGTTGTTTCTCCCGAAGATATTAAGGATATGAGAAGTGGCTATGCCCCATTCCAACAATGGAGCTAGACTTGCAAATTCTACATCTGCATAACCTGTCAAGGCGCTAGCTGCGAACTAACAAGGGTTAAACACTGTTTTTTTGTTGTTATTTCAGCGATGTTTTTCTTTTCATTGACCTTGAGGCCAGCTTTCGCCTTAGGACAACAATAGACAAAGGCATTCGATCGCTGCCTATGCTGTAATATCAGCCATATACAAAATACCTCCCCAATGGAGACATTTACATAGACAATATACTCTCTACGGAAAGCTCTACTCAATGCATCCATGATACTTAGCTTTTGTCCATTGTCACCCGTTCAACTCCAACCAAAGAAATGAGAATTATCTCGTATATAGACGTACCAAATTCATCTCGAATTCAGGCCAACTATTCCTTCGTTTTACAAAGGGTCAATAATTGCTTCGTATGCATCTTCATTTCACTTGAATTAGTGGTATACATATAATACAAGGGGCTTAACCTGCTTACTCCCTACAAGGGCAGGAAGCAAGGGCAGCCAAACCGTCCATGCCATCCGGCATGTCGAGAACCATTCTAACCTAAACGAGAACTAGGTACGTCCTCAACAGCAGCAAAACTATGCAATATCCACGTAGTCAACAAGCTCGTTCCGTACTCATCATTTACCCTCTCGGTCCCATCATAAATCGAAGTTCTCGTCTATTGGCTTCCTCTCAGAGATTCCAAGTGGCTTATGACGGCGAGGTTGGCGTCCATCCATCGGTTGACGCAATTTTGTGCGCATGAAAGCTCATTCTTCTCCAGCGTATTGCGGCTGACTTTTCCCTGAATGCATTTTGTCCAGCATACGTTGGTAAGATGGTGGACCGCTAGTGCGAGGAAGAATGTTTATTAGCTATGATCTGACCTTGCAAGTATTCTTCGCTAGTGTATCCGGAGGGAAGAGGCGCAGGACGAGGGATAGATGTAATAATTACTTTGGTGGACTTGTATTTTCTGCTGTTCGTTGCTAAGGATTTGTTGCAGGTCTTGTTTGTCCGCTGGAGAGAGCTTGGAAGGGTCGATTTGGACTTGCTGCTCCATGTTTTCCGGGTATTGGGCTGTGATTGTTTTCTTGGGATGGTGTGCTGAGCAAACTAAATGTGATCCGCGTGAAATAAACAAGTACAATTGATATGGTTATTGTAGAAGATCAACTGTTCGTTGATTTGAAATACAGAAAGGCCTTTGAAAAGACAAATCCCCAAGGCGGCGAGTACCGGCAGAAAAACATATTACGTAATATTTCAAGCTCAAAAAAACAAAGTTTCCGTCCGCGATAAGCAGCGCAGCAGCCAATATTTGAAGATTTGATATAATACTCACGACAAGCTGTTGTTGACATTCGCCTGGCCTCCTTTACATTCTCTCGATACCTTTATCCGACGGTTCTGATTACCTTGGAAGCATAACCCAGCAAAGGCTCCAACATGCCGCCGATCCGCAGCGCACGAACTCGCAAGGCCCCCCCAGATGGCTTCGACGATATCGAAGATACCCTCCTTGAATTCAGCAATAAGATGAAAGATGCCGAAAACGCCTCTCACGAAGGCAAGAAGAGACACGAGGTATTATGGCCTATATTCCAAATCAGCCACCAGCGTAAGTCCCCCTGCTTCTTTTCATTTTCCCCAGGTCTACTCTCCCGTCAACTGGGCAAAAGTAAAAGCTGATTGTTCTCCGTACGTACGTTGAATAGGGTCTCGGTATATATACGACTTATACTATGAGAAAGAAGCGATATCAAAAAAGCTGTATGACTGGCTACTCAAAAACGGCTACGCGGATGCCAACCTGATAGCTAAATGGAAGAAACAGGGCTATGAAAAGGTACGTTTACGCACCGGTTTCTTGACGATGTTGGAAGGAATAAAGCTGATGTTGTATAGCTGTGTTGTCTACGATGCATTCAGACAAAGGAAACTAATTTCAACGCTACTTGTATATGTCGTGTTCCGAAGGCGCAGCTGAAGGAAGACCAGGGAATACAGTGTGTGAGCTGCGGTTGTCGCGGTTGCAGTAGTAGTGATTGAGACGAATTTCTTTATTTTGAGGTTCTGATTGGGACTTGGACTTGGACTTGGACGTGATGCACGGATGGATAGGCAGACAGACAGACGGGTGTGGAGACACATGTCTGTCTTGTCTTTTGTCTATGCGGATGCAAGGAATCGCGTGTGATGGCATTATTCATTTTTTTTTTTCCTCTTTTCTTTCGGTGGTCTGGAAGCGGCGTTCCATTATTTGGTTTTCAAGCTATGATGATGGAGTTCTTTTTTATCCTTTCTATATTTGTTTCAATTTGGGCTTTGTACTGCTGATTTGAGTTCTCGTCTCTTGTCATTGGATTTTCGATATTCGTGTTTCTTAGTCGCCGCATGAATACTGTATAGATACCCACCAAATCCAGAATATGCTATGCATATAACATTCATACGGTTTTCCACCATCATCCAAGAGTAGAAGAGCTTGGTTTTGATATAAATTGGTAAAGATAAGTTGATATTTTGTTCAAGCGGCATCTTGACTGCAAAAGGCCATCAAACACCAAAGTAAAACAACATAGACAGAGAAACAGGAATTAAAACTCGTTAGCCATGATCCATAAACATCAGCACATTAGGGTCATTGCAAAATTCCGCCCTGTTCCCGTTCCCTGTCCGTGTCCGTGTCCGTAATCCCAACCTGTCCGTTAAAGCACCTTGCAAATAACAACAAACTCCATGCTAAGATATAGAGAAGCAACAAGTAAAGTGGGGGAGAGTAAAAGGGCTAGGTGATGTAGGATAGGCGGATGGAGATAAAAAAAGGAATAAAGAGGATAAAAGCCCCAAAAGCAATGCAAAGAGTTTTGTTTAGAATGAAAAAAGGGAAGCCAACCCACAAAGTCGCCTTCTGCCCCTGACTTGACCGCCCGAAAGATACCAAAAACATGACCAAATAAAAGATGATGGGGAAAAAAGGCATGTACCAACAATTTAACCACATATTCTGCCAGTCAAAGCAGATAGGCACAACTAGCGTGAGATGAAGAAGCTCGAGGAATGACAAGAGTAGAGCAAGAAATCGAGGGGGGGTCGGAATGAGGAGTAAGCGGATGCAGGAGAGGGGAGGTTGATGTATATGTATGGTGGTAAGAGGATGAGCAAAAGGACCCAATATGCGAAACCAAGGGTAACAATAATGACCCAAATGGCGGTCCAAGTGAGAATGGGATATGATCATTCTGATGATAGGTTATAATCCGGTGTAAGATGAGTTTGATAATGGCAATTGTCCATATGGTCCAAGAACTGACAGACCAATGCTGGAATAGAAAGAGGTATGGTCGCTCAAAATCGAATGGCGCCTTTAGGACCATGGCTCGAACGCGAGGTCTTACCAAGGAACTGTTTGGGAGACCGTTCTTCCTTTGGCTGTCCAATTTTCTCGAATCCCTGCAAGAGATCTACGCCGTCGACGTCGCCTGCACCATCTTCGCTGAAAAGATTGAATGAGAACAGCTCATCGTTAGCGGCGTCGTTGTAGCGACTCTGGTCAAGGCGTTTGCAAGGAGACTCCTGAAACCTGTAGGTCTTGGACTTGTCGATAGGTGTCTTAAGGCGGGTGTTGGCGCTCAGGGCAGTGATGTCAGCGAGAACACCTGCTCCAAGGCCGTCACTCTTGACAGAGCGCTTCTCAGGAGAACAGAAAGGGGGAGTGCCAATGCTGGCCAGGAATTGGTCTGAGAATGGATCAAAGGGCAGACGGAGATTGTCGTTGGGGGTGTATACTTCGTCATGGATGTTAAATGCCGGGCTCCAGGGCTGCTGGAGCTCTTCACCCAGTCCAAGACGCTTGATTGGGGAGTTGACCATCTGCTGGATCTTCCGACGATGGTTCTGGAGGTTAGTGTTGGGAGAGAGGAACGCTGGTGGCTTGACTGGCTTCTTAAACTTGACAGCCGGGGTCAAGGGGGCAGCATGGATAGAAATGAATTCATTTCTAAGGGGTGACGAGCCGATGGCGGCCTGTGCTGAGTCTCGGAGAGTGCCGAGACGAATAGGGCTGATATCATGAGAGGAAGATCGAATACGAGCGATCTCCTCTTCAGCACGGCCCCGTTTGATACGCGGAGGTTCGATATCTAGCTCTGATGTTAAAATATGACCAGCAGCAACACGGGGCCTCATGGCTGAAGACTCGAGGGAGGAGTAATAACCACTGTCATTCATGTTGGAGGGCTTACTGCTATGCCTCTTTGAACGCGAGACACCGGCCGAGGACGAGGTAGGCCGGGAGGGAGTTGGAGGGGTAGCCTGACGGTGGAATATGCGTGGGGCAACTGGTGGAGACGAGCGCATTGCCTGTAGCGGCGAGGAGAAATGCTGCTCTATTTGTGCCAGAGATGGGGCCGGTTGCTCATCACTAACGTCATCTTCCTGAAGAGCTGGGTCGGAGGCAGGGAGGGTGGCATCAGACGAGAGATCTTGAAGGTTTGACGCTGGAGCCACGTCCTGCGACTCAGCTGTGGTGGATGGTAAATAATTGATAGTAGAAAGACTCGTATTGCTTGATGGAGGGGGCAAGTCTGGCTGCTTTGGCGTGCTCAAAAGCGGCGCCGACTGAGGTTGGGAGGCTGGAATGGTAGACATGATGGGTGCTTTGCGGAAGGGTTTGTCCTTGAGGAACTGGCCCTCCATTCCAGGTTCAATGATCCAGTAATGGCCCTTTCCGGGGTCATCTTTGGGCCGTTCTTGCTTGATAAACGCCTTGTGAAGGCTGAGATTATGGCGGATACTGTTCTGCCATCCAAAGTCTCCAGCACGGTAGAAGGCAAAGTTGTCTGATATCCACTTGTAGATCTGAGACAAGGTAAGACGGCGGTTAGTAGCGCGTAGGATGGCCATTCCTATGAGAATGGCATAGCTATAAGGTGGTTTGGAGCCGTCGTCCTCGACGGGGGGCATCTCATGGGGTTCTGGTAGCCGGGGGGTCACAAGAGGCGGCTGCTCGAGCTCCTCACGCTTGAGCTTCTTTGCAGCAGGCACCATGTCACTGCTGCCAACAGTGAGTCTCCGTTTGGCTGGAGCATGCATCCCTGAAGAAGCTGAAGCAGAGGCAGAAGAGGCAGATGCAGAACGGGAGTGAGAGTGAGAAGACGAGCGTGGAGGTGGAGGTCCCAGAGAAGAAGAGTAGTTGTCCTGATGGTTGAAGGCCGTCCTGCCGGCAGAAGAAGAAGCAGAAGAAGCAGAAGACGAAGACCCAGAGGGCTTGGGAGGCACACTGGGGAACGTGGTGAAGAGCGGCAGGCGTGAAGAGGGCGGCGGCAAGGGACGCCGAGCCTGGTGGTGCTCCTGAGAAAGCGGCTTCTTCGCGGGCGAGTCTGTGGGAAACCTGGCAGGCTTTGGAGCCGAGATGGGGAGGTATTCCAGCTTGTTGCTGTTGTGTGCGAGGTGGGCGCTCGTGCGACGCTGGTGCTTGATAGGGGACGTGCTGCTGTGGGAGCAGAAGGGGTCCAGCGAGGGCGGGTTGAGGACGAGGTCGCGGTTGTTCCTGACCGAGTTCCCCAGGGGCTGCAGCGGCATCGGCGACGGCTGCAGCTGTTTACACTGCGACTTGGGCCTTGCGCCTGGCTGTGACGATGCTGTTGATGATGATGATGCTGTTGATGATGCTGGGTGTGATGCTGGCGCTGGTGGTGAGGCGCCTGGAGGGTCCTGGTATATGCGTAGCGGCGGCGGATGGCGCGTCGAAGCCATCGTGAAAACGGCAGCGACGGTGAAGACGAGGCCGCAGACGGTGATGATCAGTCTCTTGACGCGTCGAGAGCGTCTGGTTCACGCGATCGATGGTCGTGGTGGTGGTGAAGCCGGTGGTGATGGGCTCGTCGCATGCGCTGCAACGCGGCTAGCAAGTAGTCTCGCGGATAGTCGATAGAGTCGATAGAGTCGGTAGAAGCAGTCGATGGAAGCAGTCAGTAGTCGCAGATAGCGGCAGTAGCTGGAGATGTGCTGTCGCTGTCGACGTGGATGTGATGTGATGTGATGTGATGATGCTGGCGACGAGATGGCTGAAGTAGGCGGGAGAGGGAGGGGAGAAAAGCCGGCGAGTCCTGCTGGCAGCTGAAACACCGACGCCGAAAGAAGGCTCGCTGGTTGGCCACCGCTGGACCTCGCGCCGCCTGCCTGGACGGAGTATAACGATTTAAGATAATAATAATAATAATAATAATAATAATAATAATAATATCAAATTAGCTACTCCATACAGCGAGAGGAACTGCTTCTCCCTGTTTCTCCCTGGCGCTCTGGGTCTCGCTGCTGCTTTTTATTTGCTGGCGAGGGCGGCGCTGGCGTGCTGCTCTGGCGGGATTCACCGCAACTCGCGCGGGCTCTGGCTGAGTCGATCTACCGCAGGCTACTGTACGATTACGGAGCCCGCGGGCCCAAGGCCTGTCCACCAGGGGCCCGGCGGAGAGCCACTGCCAGCGCGTTCGGGCAGAGACGAGCATGGAAGACAGGGCGGCGAGGCGCCCAGTCAGGCCGCAAGGTGCAGGCAAAGAGGCGAGTCAGGGGCCGGAGAAAAGGAGCAGACAAGCGCTGGGGTTGCATCCATGGATTCGCTTGAACTAGGGCTGACTTGATCTAGAGTTGACTTGACTTCAGATTGCCGTCTACGGAGGAGTAGATGTGGCTTGTTGTGTGTTTATTTAAGTAACATGGCTAGCAAGGTCCGCGGGACGACCTCGACCGGGCGAGTTTGATCATCACGATATCTTTTGTAGCATTTGTTTCTTCTTCTGCTTGTTGTTGGGCGTTGTTGTGTGTTGCAACAGCCGGTTGATATCTTGGTAGGTCACATAAAATAATTAAGGAAAACAGCAAACCCCGTCTCATTTTTTCACCCCATTAAACAATTCCGAGCTTGGTGGCTGCAATGTCGAGCGCATCAATGTCTGGCGTTAGTCGGGCAAAGACCTTCTTCGAGCCGTCCGGTCTGCAGCACTGTTAGCATCACACCATAATCCACAAAAAGATATGAGAGAGAAGGTTGAACCCACCGGATGAGAGTGTTGAGCTTGACGGTATCTATGTCGTAGAGCTTCTTGAGAGCGAGCTTGATCTGGCGCTTGTTGGCCTTGACGTCGGCAATGAACACCAGCGTGTTGTTCTCCTCGATCTTCTTCATGGCAGACTCGGTGTTGAGCGGGTGCACAATCACCTGGTGGTGGTCCATACGGGGGACATGGGGAATCGACTTTCGGGGGTACTTGGGCGATCGAGACAGCTGCAGAGTCTTTGGTCGGTGGAAGGTCGCTGATGTTCTGACCTTGCGGACTTTGTGCGAGTGAACCTGTCGGACGGCCGTCGTCGTTAATCTTCAATTCTTCTTCTTCCCTCCCCATACCCAGACAGTTTTAAAGCTTCTCATTTTGCATCTCTTTTTTTGTCTCCCCGTTCAATGGACGTAGCTTACCCCCTTGAGGACGGCCTTGGAGGCAGCACCAGCCTTGGAGCTGGCCTTTGTGGCTGTATATCACCTCGAGTTAGCAATCGTTCTCCCAAACGCACAATCCGCATCCTTTCCCATATAGATAGATTTCACATATCGGTGGATATTGGGCTCGTTGGGGTCGCTTCGTCGCCGGCACCGCGCATCGACAGCATCGGGGGAGCAGGAATACGCACCTTTCTTGGTATCCTTGGGAGCCATGGCTGTCGATTCACGGCGAAGTTCGTTGTCGCTGGTGGTGTCTTTTTCGCTGCTTCGAAACGCGAAATTCGTCGATTTCGTCGACTTTTTTGCTTTTCGTCGATTTTCTCGCTTAGTTGAGTTCGTGGGGCACGTGATGCTGACTAAGACAGACTCGCAGAAGAAACGACAATAATCAGAGAAGCTACGCCGATAATCGTAGTAGAACTAGAATAAGAGAAGGAGAGAAAGATAGAGGTCGAGGAGGGCTGAGATGAAGAGGAAAAAGTCGCTGGCGCAGGGACGGCCGCCGACAGTCAAGAAGCCGGCTGCATCGCTGTCAGCCAGGGCAACCCGAGACCTCATCCGGAGCCACCACCAGCTACACAAGGCGCGCGCAAGGGCAGCAGCAGAAGGCAACGAGGAGCTGGTGCGGCAGCTGGACAGCGAGATAGCGGCGAAGGGCGGGCTGAAGAGCTACCAGATCGCCAGCAAGAAGGGCCAGTCGAAGGAGCGCGGAGGTGATTCCAGCCATCTCCTGCTGCAATGGCTGAAGCCGATACTCAGCGGCATCCAGCGGCATCCAGAAAACGGCACAGGCAAACTGCGAGTTCTAGAAGTTGGCGCGTTGAGTAGTAGGAATGCTTGCTCGATGGTGAAGGTGCTGGACGTTACGAGGATCGACCTCCATTCGCAAGAGGCCGGAATACTGCAGCAAGACTTTATGGAACGACCATTGCCAACTACCGACGGAGACAGGTTTCACATTATCAGCTTGTCCCTGGTGCTCAATTACGTCCCCGATCCCACAGGCAGAGGCGAGATGCTACGCCGGACGATCAACTTTCTCACATCGAGCGTCAAGGACGACGTTCTGCCAGCGCTGTTCCTAGTACTACCAGCTGCCTGTGTGTTGAATTCAAGATACCTCACCGAAGAGAGGTTAGATGACATCATGACATCGCTCGGATACCAGCAGCTTCAGCGGAAATTGTCCTCAAAGCTCATTTACTACCTCTGGAGATACACCGATGTCCACGTTAGGACCAAGGGGGTTGCCTTTCCAAAGCAGATCATCAACCCGGGGCCCGGCAAGAATAACTTTGCCGTTGTTCTCAAGCCTTCTGCTTGAGAGCACACGTCGGTATACAGCATCAAATTGCCATGCTGTAATGAGTTTCAATCAAGGAATCTCCCAGGTGGTCAACCATGGATCCTCGAGGGGTTCCTTGGCTCTCCTACGATCCTCTGGACACGACATTAGCGTCCCTCGGACATAGTCGAGGAACTCTCCTTGTTTATCCCGCTGAAGATCACTTCAGCCTTCTTTAGACTGTTGTTGCCCTTGGGAATCGGACAATCTACTATCCATTTGCCTCTCGCCTCTATTAGCTTCGGACACGGCAGAAGCTCAGCGTTGGACTTACTATCTTCAGAAATGAATTCTTTCCTTTGGGTTCCATTTTGGGGCAGATCCAACGGCGGTGGGCCTAGCAGCCTGATTATCTTTGTCAGGTGGGCTCGGGTGGTATAATAGGTCTTCTCCGGACTGGGGTCTGTCCCATAGAACAAGTGGCTACCCTCAAAAACGTCCCAGATCTGTGGCTCTCTCGCCAGCCGTGTCCATCAATATTATTCAAGGTTCAAAAGAGGAGAACTCACCATGGCTCCAACATTCCATATACCTGCAGGGTAGCTCCATGGTGCCTGAAGGAGAACCTCGGGCGATCTGTACACCTGTGGCTGTGCATAGTGATTTCGCTTAACGTCCCCGTTCACCATTTCGCCAACGACACCTAGCACAAGCATGCCCCAGTCGTTCGGCAGGCCAAACCGCCCGGACTTGTACACCGGAGCGCCATTGACGTATTTCCGTGGAGATGGGTGTTACCATTTCTTCTTGATCAAAAGACCCGAAGATTTCATCGTCAACAATTGCACGCAGTATGTTATCTGCTCTGATGTCTATTTATACTTGTTGCAAGATATATTTATCTACGAGTCTCTGCGGAATCTACCTGTGTGGACAAGCCTACTCTCTGTGTGAAGATTACCAGTCAAGAGCCAAAAGAAGACGTTGTAGATCAACCTTCAGCAGCTTCTACGGAGAACCGGCTGCTAATATTTCAATCGAGATGGTCCCTCTAGCTATCCCACAGTGGCGCTTGAACAAGGAATTTGTGCTCCTTTCCCCCGTTCCGCTCAATCGGAAACATCTCCACAGCTCTTCTGACGTGCGTACGCCTAGGATGGGACTGGTTCATCGTACGTTCGGAGTTCCCTCTCGCAGGTCCGGTCGTGGTTCCGCGCGCGAATATTTTCAATAATGCATGATAGCCGCCGTAGCGAATGTTCCGAGCCAGCCAGACGGTTGACGTCAAGCCGTATCCTAGCTCACTTAGTGCCCGGTAGGAAGAATATACGTCATCGATGTTGATGGAACAGTAGTAGCCTGCTTTGAACATCCCATAGCCCTCCTCTTCGAGTATGCTGCTAACAGGAACAACCTCAAAAGGCACCCCTTGGGAATTGTAGACGGCCCACCGGAGCGCAAGTGAATGCAGCCTGTGTCCATCGTAACATCCAATCCATCGGTATCTTCACTCATGCGTCCTCCCCTGCATCTCCGGTGTAGTTACTCGCACTCTGTGTTTTGTCGATGATGATATATCAAACTTCAATGCCCAACTTTTTCATTGCTTACATAATCATTAGACCTGACTTTTTTTTTCACATCACAATCGATCGTCGAGTTCGCTGATAGTTAAAGAGAAAAACCACATTTTTGACACGCTGAGTCGGCTAGTGAAATAGTCAGATACGTCTAATACGGCGTAGAGCGTTGGTTTAACGGTTCTCGACTTTTACCGGCCTGCGTGGGCAGTCAGGCTCACCGATCAGGTCCAAACCGAACAATTTGGCTGCGTCTTGGGCTGAGCTGAGAGAGCCATCTATCCAACATGAGCGCGCCGCAAGGAGCAGGCGAGGCGGAGAAGAACATCGAGATATGGAAGGTCAAGAAGTTGATTAAGCGCCTTGAGGCAGCGCGTGGAAATGGAACTTCAATGATTTCGTTGATTATCCGTAAGTTGGTTGATGCTGCCCAGGTGGTGTCTGCCCCGCTAACTCTGTTCTACAGCTCCAAAGGATCAGATCTCGAGAGCAGCGAAGATGTTGGCTGAAGAATTCGTATGTTACCTATATCCCGATGCTGAGACGGGTGTAAAGAACTACTACTCTAACAAGTATCCTAGGGAACCGCGTCTAACATCAAATCCCGAGTTAACCGTCTATCCGTTCTGTCGGCCATTACGTCTACCCAGCAGCGCCTGAAGCTGTACACCAGGGTCCCTCCAAATGGTCTTGTGGTCTACTGCGGTGAAATTATCACTTCCGAAGGAAAGGAACGTAAAATCAACATTGACTTCGAGCCGTTCAAGCCTATCAATACCTCCCTTTATCTCTGTGACAACAAGTTCCACACCGAAGCCCTCAGCGAACTTCTCGAGTCCGACCAGAAATTCGGCTTCATCATCATGGACGGAAATGGTGCACTCTTTGGTACTCTATCTGGAAATACCAGAGACGTCGTGCACAAATTCAGCGTCGATTTGCCCAAGAAGCACGGCCGTGGTGGTCAGTCCGCTCTGCGTTTTGCCCGTCTTCGTGAGGAAAAGCGTCACAATTACGTCCGTAAAGTTGCCGAACTTGCTGTCCAGAACTTCATTACTGCTGATAAGGTCAACGTTGCCGGTTTGATTCTTGCTGGTTCTGCCGATTTCAAGAACGACCTTAACCAGTCCGATCTCTTCGACAACCGTCTCCAGTCCAAGGTCATCAAGGTCGTTGACGTGTCGTACGGTGGTGAAAACGGATTCAATCAGGCTATTGAACTTTCCTCCGAGACTCTTGGCAACGTCAAGTTTATTCAGGAGAAGAAGCTTATTGGCAAGTACTTTGAGGAAATCAGCCAGGATAGCGGACGTGTTTGCTACGGTGTTGAGGATACCCTGAAAGCACTCGAGCTTGGAGCCGCTGAAACTCTCATCGTTTTTGAGAACTTGGACATCACTCGCTGGGTTCTCAGGCCTTCCAGTGGCTCTGACATCGTACTCCACACCACCAAGGCCCAGGAGGCCAACAGAGAGCAGTTCATGGACAAGGAAACCGGACAGGAAATGGAAATCGTTGATCAAGGATCTCTTCTTGAATGGCTTGCTGAGAACTACAAGGATTTCGGTGCCACCCTGGAGTTTGTTTCTGACAAGTCTGGCGAGGGTAATCAGTTCGTCAAGGGCTTCGGTGGTATTGGAGCAATGCTCCGCTACAAGGTTAATTTCGAACAATTAGCCGATGTTGAAGAAGACGATGATGAATTCTACGATGGTATGGACTGCAAGATGGTTTTTATATTGTGTACCGATATGCTGATCATTGCAACTAGATTGACAATATGGCAACCTCGCGGGTTGCGAGGACGACCGCCCGGAAATCCCGTCGGGGAGTGTTCTGACGACTAGCCCTTTGAACCACGTCAACCGCGTCAAGGGCAATACAAACGCATCAGCCGTTCAGATCTGTGCCCCACATCACCTCGCCAGCTCGAAGCTTCTCAAAGGTACGTTTGATAACGTTCTCTCAGATTGGTCTCTACATAGTATCACTAACTTCTCCTTCAGGACCATCCAAGCTTCGCAACGTGGCCACCTCAAATTAAAGTGGCCATAGTAGAAACATATGCTACGAGGGTAGACTGTTTGACGGACGTTATTCCAGCGTATCTTCCTCGCTTCGTCAAAACCCACTTCATAGTTGAAGACCGGATAAGATCGATGCCTTTTTTTTCTTTTTTCGGGTCTGCCCGCTACATTTTCAGATTCGAACTTGAGCTGGGATAGCACTTCTCGGTGGAAACCTGCTCCTCCTTGCTTCCTACTAAATGATTTAAATTGTGTGCTTTTTCTGCTGTCGTCTTCTTGCGCCCTGCCTCGCTCTATGATGGAACACGAAAGCCTGCGCTTTGAAGTTTGATGACTTAGTTCTTTCTCAAACTACGTTATTAAACTGAAGTGGAGGCCCATCCAGGGCCATGTGCTAGTGTTTTCCTTCAATCAATAAAAATATACGCTCGTTACCTGCGATACATTCCGGCACACGGTTATTCACTATAAGTGTATGGCTGTGTCATCACCTCGCTCCTTTTTTTTAGATGTAATGCGTAAATTGGATCATATACCTTCTTGTTTAGATCCCTCCATAAATGCCATGTTCCCAAATAATGCCCTGCTTTTTTACTTTTCCATGAGTTGATCTTCCCAACTCCCTAGGTTTCTGCAGGTCTGTGTAATATCCCGCAGCTCGTCTATGACCTTTTCCACAACATGATCATCGTGCACACCACATACCCTCTGACACTCTACCAGAAAAACGTACTGCCACGCTTTAACACCTCCTGGGCGAGAATTGATACTAGTTAGATTGAGACCATACTTTTTAAACACATGTAATGCGTCCGCCAGGGCACCGGGAGACGTATGATCAACCATAAAGGTGATAAGTGACTTGCATTTCGAGCCTGGATCCGAGCAAGACTGCGTCTTCTGGGGCGGCTTTACTGCCTGGGTACGGTTTGATTTGAGGTTCTGCAGGATAAGGAATCTGGTTGCGTTGGAAGGGTCGTCTTCGATGTTGGCCTTGACGACCCGTAGACCATTGATACTACCTGCAAGCTCACTTCCAATAGCTGCGCTTCTGGGATCGTTGTCCTTGCTGACTATCTCAGCAGCCTTGGAGGTTGAAGAGGCATCTTGCTTCTCTACTCCACTGTACGCTGAAAGAAACTTGGTACATTGCCCCCAGACTTGCGGGTGAGAGTAGAATTTGGATACCTCCGGGTTAGGCTCAGAAGTGTTTCCATGTCCATCTATATTGTAACTTATTAGTTAGATATTCTATAACCGCTGGATATGGGCCTGCTTGGACTAACCTAGTGCGTTTTTCATCAAGAGACAGTGATGGACACTGAGGTAATATTCTCCAGACACAATTATATCGGGGTATAGATTTTCACGGTCTGCTAGCAAGTCAAGAGTCTGGACAACGGCACCATTTGAAGAGTTTTCTAGTGGTATAATGGCATAGTCGGCCTCTTGGGACTGGACGGCTGAGAAGGCATTGTTGAAAGAAATCTCTGCGTTGAGGGTGTTATTGCTTGAACCAAAACATTCTATGGCTGCCTATTGAAACACGCATAAGCCCAAAGCATGCACAACAACTGTATTATTATATATACTCACTTGATGTGAAAAGGAGCCCACAGGTCCAAGAAATGCAACGATGGGCTGGAGCAAAGTATTGGCACCCAAGCCCGGAGTCATGGAGGGCATCATAGCAAACCCTTAATATAGAAATAAAGGTGCTATACTACCTTATAGAGATTATCTGCCTCTCTTCGCCTCTTTCTTTAGAACTCTTAGTTATTCAATATCTGAACCTGCGCACATGCTGGCGGTCTAAATATTGAGTCAAATTGCGGAGTTGTAGTTTGTTATCCGAGATCGGCGAACTCCTGGTGAACCTTTTTTAAGTTATTTGGCAAACCGCAAACATCTCCAACCCGTAACTAAAACATCCAGCCAACTACACCGACGCAGTTCACTAGGTACCACAGCAGACACAAGTGACTGCCACGGATGTGTGCCTCTACGGAACACGCGAGGTAGATATGGCTCAATTGGCCCGGATATGCCTTGGTCCACGACTTACAAGCTTTTTGCAAAGGCGCGCTTTGGCTACAGCTCCGGCATTATCAAACATTGAAGGTGAGCTGGTACGGCGCCGGCTGCCTCTGATATACGACTATCTCTCGCCGCAACCATCGCATCTGCTGAGCCTGTCCCTCGATAGCCTTAATGTGTCAACACCAGGCTCTTCAGCCTCTTCTGAGTCCCAATGGCGTCTCCCTTCCGTAACCAGACCGGCCCCCATGCCTCGTGGCCACCATCTAATATATTTCCCACCTCAAGTCCCTTCATCTGAGCTCCTTCCCGACGGCTGTGATGAATTACACTCTCCCGGCCAGCCATACAATCGCCGGATGTGGGCTGGTGGATCGGTCCGGTTTTTCGGTGATGGCGGCCCGTTGCTTAATGGACAGCGAGCGGTCTGTGTCGAAGGAATACGCGAGGTGAATATAAAAGGTAAGGAAGGTAAGGAAAAGATTTTTGTTGGAATCGAAAGGCGGGTGGCCGCTGTGGACGAACATGAGAGTGATGATGCTGTCCGGAGTAGAGTCTGGACCCAATTCGAGGAGGAACAAGGAGTCAGTATGGTAATTGAAAGGCGTAACCTTGTCTTTATGAGAGACAGGACGTCGGGGGAAATTGAAGCTGCGAAATCTACTGCTGATACACCTCTACGAAGGATAATGAAAAGTAATAACTGCCGGCATCCACAGGTTTAATATTGTGCTAACATACGATGGCCCAGTTCCTGCTACAGCTGAATTCTCCCAGACCATCATACCTTCCAAATCACTTTTATTCAGATACTCTGCCCTTACATTCAATGCCCATGCCATCCACCTTGATCGAGACTATGCACGTAACATCGAAGGATACAATGACCTTCTTGTCCATGGACCTCTTACCCTCACGATAATGCTCAGCACATTCCAGAAACACGCGGCTACATTAGGACAGGTTGTATCAACTATTGAGTATCGAAACCTAGCTCCCCTTCTAGTTGAGCATGAAATGAAGGTATGCGCTGCGCGCAAGCCTAACGGATCAACTGGCAGCTGGGATATCTGGGTAGAGGACAACGATGGGGGACTAGCCGCTAAAGGAACCATCAAGACTGTGCCCGTTGAATCCGACCAAGGCATTGTATCCTGACCGTGTGCTAGTTAATATATACAGGCAATGGTCAGTACATGGCGTCGTTCTCCCTGAATACCTAATTCTGAAGTGCGTGAGTTCCATGTTTTGAGCCTCGCCCGGCCGCTAGAAACACGTGCCGTGCACTTCTGAAGAAAATGCTTGGAAAGAGAAACTCGCGAGCTGAAAACAACAACGTATTCCTTTACCGTATCCTCAGCCTCGCCCACGCCGTCATTATGGCACCACGTACAAGGGAAGAGCTCGTTGCCCTCGCGGTTATGGATCCCGCCATGGCCACTATCCTGGAAAATGGCCCAGCAGTGCGCCCTCCAAGGCCATCAGACCCGTACTATGGCCGTAAGGACCATACGGCAGCCAGGGAACATAGGGCCACTATATTGAGAGAAAAATGGGGGCTTCGATACCTTCCTGGGTCGATTGATGAAGTTGCTGAAGAGGACCGGAAGATACCCGTCCGTGATGGCTCAGAAATCACAATCAGAATATACAAGCCGGTAGCTAAGAAGCAGGATGGAAGCCCATTAATCGTCATGTTCCACGAGGGTGGCTGGGGTATGGGAGACTTGACAGATGAAGAAGTTAACTGTCGACTCTTCTCTCGGGATCTGGGTGCCATTTGTGTCAACGTGGAATACAGGCTTGCTCCAGAGTATCCATTCCCGACCTGGATCAATGACTCTTGGGATGCCCTTCAATGGTGTGCTAGGAATGCCTCAGCGCTCGGTGCCGACCTTTCAAGGGGGTTTATAGTTGGGGGCGGGTCAGCAGGCGGGAATATAGCCGCAGTTCTTGCACATATTGCACGAGACGAACAGCTATCTCCACCTTTAACTGGCCAATATCTCTGTGTCCCTGCCATTATGTGCTTTCTGCCGCCTTCACATATCCCCGTTCAATATCGGGCGGAATTCCTCTCCCACCCCCTTGTGACACCTTGCAATGATCCCATTCTCAACGTGTCGCTGGGACCATTAACTCCACTTGCTTCCGTTCCAAGGTTCATACTCAGCTTTCTGCCTTTAAACCTTTTAGCAAAGGTGTACAGCATTGCGGGAATGAGTGGTGATATGTCCAGTCCTTTGTTTGTGCCTTTCCTCTATGGTCAAGGGGAACGCGGCCATCGGGATCTCCCGCCGGCTTACTTTCAGGTTTGTGGGCTAGATCCTCTGAGAGACGAGGCTCTGATATATGAACGTGTTCTAAGGGAGGAGGCGGGGGTGAAGACGAAGGTTGACGTGTATAAGGGTCTCGGACACTACTTTTGGACGAACTTTCCAGAGCTTGAAATGAGTAGGACATTTGTGGAGGATACTGTCAAAGGCATGAGATGGCTACTGGAAGGAAAATGTTAACAGTTACAAGGACCAAGACTGTACACTACGGCAGACTTGACTCTTAGCAATGACGAGCCGTATTATATTATCTTCCTCGACGATATATCTAGTTACTCCCGCGTATAGTCACTGCTTACCTAATGGACTACTAAAACATCACGTGATTAAACAGGAATAATATAAGTCCGTAATGCGAATTAGAGTTTGGGCTGGAAAAGTTTTTTGTCTTGCTTCCCAAAAAGCCACATATAAAAAAGACCATGAAAGCTTTTCTTCCACCTTTAACTCCAATTCAGAGATACACACAAACACCAAACACTTTTGTAGCAAAAGTAGTTTGGTAGTTTAGTAAAGATGGACAAATTCTGGGCAGCACCGCCAGTCAGCAGGTGAGCTTCTATATCTGAGCAAGGGATAGTGTGTGTAGGATACTGACCCAGCTCTGTTAAAGAACGCTGACGGCAGTCACGTTTGTCCAGTCAGTCCTGGTTCATGGGGGATTTCTGAATGGCATGCATGTCGTCTTCCTCTTACCAAGGATACTTCAGATCCCGCCCCAGCTATGGAGACTTGTGACGCCGTTTTTCCTGACTGGAGGAGGCATTGGTTTCTTCCTGGACCTTTACTTCTGTACGGGTCCATGAAACGACAATGAATACCTTGCTATATCGTGGGCAGATCTTACTAACAGACGCGCAGTATTTCAATACGCCAGCGATATTGAGGTCAATTCGCCTCGTTTCTCTGGACCAGGTGACTTTGTCACCTATGTGATATTCGTAGCTATTTTCATTCTGGTGAGTGGTCATTCATTCCTTGCCTCGCGCGAGGGTTACAAGCTTGGCCTTTACCCTATCCTATCTTCCTTCTTTGCAAAACACCTCTTAAATCTGCCCGCCCAGCCTCTTCTAGCTGCAGCGGTTCCTGAATTCGAGGGAGATTACCCCTGCACTTCGTGCATACCCATCATTCGCATAATATCAATCCTTCAGGGTATGCATGCGGTGTAGGCATGGTGGGATTGTGGCATGACTTGACCAGTGTTGATGAATATATTATGCTGGTTATGCTGCTGCCCTACATTCATATATATCTCGTTGTCTTCCGACTGCCTTGTATCTAGTTTAGAATACCCTTCATATCAATATCCTCTATATCCTGCTATCTTCTAGTTCTTAGAGCTGACGCATGCGCAGTTAACCGCGGGCTTGTACTTGCAGTCCTTCGTCTTCCTCGGAGGTACGACGATATCTACCCATAAGTCGTACTCATCCATCTGCTCCCTTGCTTGGGAAGCCTGTTCATGTTCTTCAGTTATTTAGCTAACCCGAATAGCTCTATCTTTCGCCTTTCTCACTACCCTAGCTCAAGATAACGCAGGGAAGAAGATGGCTTTCATCTTTTTCCAGATTCCAGCAGAATACCTCCCGTTCGCCAGCTTAATTGCTACCCTTGTCCTCTCTGGGCAGCACGCCGCAGTCACCCAAGCCTGTGGTATACTGGCAGCTCATCTTTACGAGTTCCTAACCCGTATCTATCCCGACTTCGGGGGAGGCACCAACTACATACAGACACCCCGCTTCATCCAAAACATATTTGGATCCAGTGGAAACTACGTCAAAGCACATGGTGGCTATCGCAAGCATCGCCCAGGCGATGGCAATAGTTCCGACTCAAGAAGCACCGGTCAATCCACCGGAAGCTGGTTTTCGGGCTTGGGAGGAGGGTCATGGAAAGGCAGAGGGGCCGGCAGGAAGTTGGGCACTGGTTGAACTACCTGAAACTTACTTACGGAGTAAGGAAAGATGCAATCGAATAATCGGCGTTAACAGTGAGGAGGATACAAGGTTACCTACTACTTCAATTTTTATGAAGCAGCTTAATGTCAAATCTATTTGATTACGTAAACTTAGAGTCGCTTAAAGATAATCAATGATAAGTTGGCGCGCGGCAATTGGCGTCTATACGCCCAATAATATTTCAGTACAGAGGGCGGATCAACTTTTTTGCCCACAGCAAATTTTGACGCGAACAAAAATTCCAGACAGAAAAAAAAAAGAAAGCCTTCAAATATTTTACACCTTGCGACCCAATTGATAGCACCTGAAAGAGTGTTGTCGTCGCGCGAGGTGTTGGGTTTGCAGAGCTAATTGAATCTTGATACTTTGATCTGTGTGGTTTTCGAGTGTTTTGCCCTGCAGTGAGGAGCTAGATCTTTTACGATGGCCGCTACCACTGGCAAGGGCGATGTTGCCGACTACAGCATCAAGCCTGAAGCTGTTGCTCCTCCAATTCCCACCTCAGAATGGCCGCTTCTACTGAAGAATTATGATAAACGTATGTGCTTTATGTGCAATTAATGTGGTGGGGGAAATAAGTGAAAAGGATCATTTGCTAATCTGTGCGGCCGTTAAATTTCAATAGTACTTGTGCGGACCAGTCACTTCACCCCAATCCCTAACGGCTGCACTCCCCTCAAGCGTGACTTGAAGTCCTATATCAGTTCTGGTGTGATCAACTTGGATAAACCGTCGAACCCATCGAGTCATGAGGTTGTCGCATGGATGAAGAGGATGCTCAGGTTCGCACAGCCATTTTCTTCCCACCACTCAAGTTGAATTTCTAGGTAGCTAACTAGCTATCTTTCGTTCTTAATAGAGTGGAAAAGACTGGACACAGTGGAACTCTGGACCCAAAGGTTACTGGGTGCTTGATTGTGTGCATTGACCGTGCCACTCGCCTAGTAAAATCGCAGCAGGGAGCCGGAAAGGAGTACGTTTGTGTTATTAGGCTACATGACAAGATTCCCGGAGGCGAGGCGCAATTTGCTCGTGCCCTTGAGACATTGTCTGGAGCTTTGTTCCAGCGACCACCACTGATATCTGCTGTCAAACGTCAGCTTCGTATCCGAACAATTTACGAGAGCAAGTTGTATGAATTTGATAATGACCGACACTTGGGCGTATTTTGGGTCAGTTGCGAGGCTGGTACCTATATCAGAACTCTTTGCGTGCATCTTGGCTTGCTTTTGGGAGTTGGGGCTCATATGCAGGAACTGCGCCGTGTTCGCAGTGGAGCCATGGACGAGAAGGATGGCATGGTGACTCTACATGATGTTTTGGACGCCCAGTGGATGATGGATAACCACCGTGACGAATCGTACCTCAGAAAGGTCATTCGACCGTTGGAGAGCTTGTTGACTTCATATAAGCGAATTGTTGTGAAAGATAGCGCAGTCAACGCCGTCTGCTACGGAGCTAAACTGATGATTCCAGGTCTCTTGCGATTTGGTAAGTTACATAATCAATACTATTTTGATATTGGCAAATTGCTAAATGTTATCTATAGAGGCTGGAATCGAGATATATGAGGAGGTGGTACTCATGACCACCAAGGGCGAGGCCATTGCCATCGGTATAGCTCAGATGTCCACTGTTGAACTCTCAACCTGTGATCACGGAGTAGTTGCCAAGGTCAAGCGTTGCATCATGGAGCGTGATCTTTACCCCAGACGATGGGGTATGGGCCCAGTTGCCCTTGAGAAGAAGAAGCTCAAGGCTGACGGGAAGCTTGACGTAAGTTACTCTGACTAGTTCTTTTTAACTCTTACATCTCTTGCTAACTCTTGTCTAGAAATATGGCCGCACTAATGCCTCCACCCCGGCCAAGTGGCAAGCGGAGTATAAGGATTATGATGCTCAAGCTGCTGGTACACCAAATGCCGCTCCAGCACCTGGTGCTACCACACCCGCAAAGGCTGCCCCGGCTGCTCCTGCTGCTTCATCCCCCGAGAAGGAAGATGAAGAGATGGATGATGCCGACAAGAAGAGAAAGAGAAAGGATGGAGAGACCGCAGAAGAACGAGAAGAACGGAAGCGCCTAAAGAAGGAGAAAAAGGAGGCAAAGGAGAAAAAGAAGCAAGAGAAGAAAGAGAAGAAGGAAAAGCGAAAATCCAAGCAGGCTGAGGATGCCAGTGACAGCGATTAAGGGATTGGATTTGCCCAGCAGGCGTCAGTCACCCTACCTTTTTCTTTTGTATCATATCCCTTTTTATACCGTTGGAGTATGGGACTGATTCAAAATTGGGTTACTTATTTATGTTTGCTGGAGTATACGGTTGTGTTTATTTCGTTCTACTTCTTTCAATAGTTAGCTTTGCTTGCCTGGGTCAGTTTGGCTGAATATACTGCTTTCGAAATTTAATACCGGGACTCTTGTCCTTTGTCTTAAATTGACAGCCCAAAAACAAAGCAGTATTCGGGGAAATCTGCTGTATTAGTAGGGGGAGTAGTATGCGTTGGTAGCTGTCGGTGATCTCGGCTGTGGTGTGGCTTTGCCGTGTTGACGTCGATCTCGCTGACATCACAACGTCGACTTCAACCTCACAACCAACATCACGCTATTATTCGCACACGACCACTTCGACACCCACATTCTTCCTTGTATTAACATTTTCGGTTTATAGACATATAAACAGAGGCACTGCGAACAGAAAAAGTTTGGACTTGTCGCCATAATGGCAGCGGAACTTGCGCCGACAAAGCTCAACGCGGAGAGCCACCTGATTCTGGTACACTCCAGCTTTCCCAAAGACGAAGAATATAAAAGGAAACCCTACTAACTGGCCATTTTGAAGGACCAACCTCTCCTTCGACTTCCACATGAGCTAGCTCGCCGGAACTTCAAAACCGTACAGCGCATCGTGGAGAGAGAGAAGGAATATGTCATTCCCGCCTTGAAAGAATCAGCAAATGCCTCGCTCTCTGGGAACCAAGATCCTACCCAAGCACTCGCCTCTTTGGACACGATGATAACCCGGATGCAAGGGCTGAAGCGGAAGATGGAGACACTACAAGAGGAGGAGAAGAGCATCCTCTCCCAGTCCCGGAAAAGGATTGAACACCTTGAAGACCTCTTCGGCATACAGAGCTTGGTAGATGTTAAGTATGACAGATGGTCGAAGACAAGGCTGAATAGGTTGCTGGTAGACCATATGCTACGTTCAGGCTACCTTGAAAGTGCAAAGCAGCTTGCACATGAGGAAGGTCTTGAAGATTTGGTGGATGTACATGTCTTTGCGCAATGCCAGCGCATAGCAGAGAGTCTTCGGAGAGGGGAAACGAAAGAAGCCCTACAATGGTGTGGAGAAAACAAAGTTGCCCTGAAGAAGCTACACGTATGTTTCTTTTCCCTCTTTATCGTTGTGCTTGGAAAGCACTAACAGCTCTAAACAGAATAAACTAGAATTCGAACTACGGATGCAACAGTATATTGAAATGTTACGTGCGGGTGAGAGAACGGAAGCAAGACAGCATGCCAAAAAATACCTCACACCACACAGTGAGACATACCAATCAGATATACTCCGTGCTGCCGGGCTGATGGTCTTTCCCCCTAATACTGATGCCGAGCCGTACAAGGTATGATATCCCAATGCTTATTAGTCGTCCATTCCAAACTGACCAGGCTGTCTAGGCTATTTACTCCTCTGAACGATGGCAAACGCTATCCAACCTCTTCATTAAAACCCACCACGATCTTCTCTCACTTACATCACACCCATTACTGCAGATTGCCCTCTCCGCAGGCATTTCGGCTTTAAAGACACCCGCATGTCATTCGGAATATACCACATCTGCCTCAAGTGCAACCTACTCCTCAGGGTCCTCCATATGTCCCATATGCTCCACTGAGCTCAATGAGCTTGCCCGCCCTATGCCTTATGCTCACCATACCAAGAGCTCGGTGGACAATGACCCAGTTGTCCTACCAAACGGTCGACTATATGGCAGGGAGAGCTTATGCTATATGTCGAGCAGATCAGGTGTTAGCACCGGCAAAGTCAAAGATCCAATTACTTCAGAGGTGTTCGATGTGTCAGAGTTGAAGAAGGTGTTTATTTCATAGGTTGACAGCAGTAAACATCAACTGCTGTAGTGGTAACTGCCTATTTCTTCCGGTGCTCCTTCTTTTCTGTTTGTTTACTAAGTTTAGTCGAATGGTTCAATGCAGCGTATTAATTAATGATTTAACGACCATTTTACCGACTTGTAGTCCTATCCTCGATCCAAGATCATAGAAACTGGAATTATCAGTCGCTTTCACTCCCAGATCCTTTTCTCTTTCTCTTAAGCTTTCCAGAGCAAGTACCTTGACTCTCGAACTCTTTTCTTTCAAATATATAACTTCTTGCCTCCCGTTCTTCTCCTTTCCATCCACCTCTCCCACCACCTTTCCCTTCGATAGCCCCTATCGTCCGTGCATGGGAGTAGCCAGGATAACTTGCCCATGGGAATTTGAAGCTAGTCACAACTCGTAGACCCGCATGTCGGGCAAGATCCCTGATATTCCATAGCGTATAGGGCTCACCCTCAAATAGAGTCACAATAATATGGCCCGGCTCCTTCCTAGACTTGTGTCGCACTTCACCAGCGTCAGAAAGGGAGCCATTGTTCTCCTTATCCGTATATTCAACCTCGTCCTCAAAATCAGACGAGTCCTCCGTTGGATTTGGGATTGAAAGAAGGGGCACACATGCTTTGAAGAACCCAACTAGTAGTTCCTGGTTTGATCGAACTTGCCTGTTCACATCCGTACTCAGGCCGCCAACATGTGGAAAATTGAAGCAAATAATATCCCATGGCCCTCCTGGTTCGCCTGTATGGCCATTACCATCCTTCTTAGACCGGTTCGAGTAATGTGCTTTTGGACTCGGAGCTGGAAAGCCGCTCCGTATCAACTTCCCTCCTCCGCCAGTGCCACCTAGCTTTCGAGCATCAATTGAAAAGACAACTTTTGGAGATGGTACGGATGATTTCATTGCTTTAGGTGAGCTGCTTTCTACAGGACCAGCTTTGACACGATCCTGCGGCTTCTGATCCGTCTCTTCATCTGACTGGTCTGACTCAACTTCTTCATCTCTCCTACGTTTTACGCCGGGCTTAGACTCATGTGAGTAGGACGAGAAAGCTTCAAGCTGTTCAATATGCCTTTTGGCATCTGGGTATTTCTCAGTCAGCTTGGCTTCACTGTCATAACATGTTGCCATCAGCCGTTTTCGGCATTTGTGGTGAGTTGCAAGGGATAATGCAAACGAGAAATCTCCTAGCTCGAAGTATTAGCTTTTGTCTGTGATATGAACAAGTATAATAAGCATACCTTCGCCAATCAAGAGCACCCTATCTGATGGTCTGAAGGGGATTTGCGGTTGATTTTGCCTTTGCTGCTGCTGTTTGGCATTTTGGGTCTTTTTTGTTGACGTTGACAGCTTTGTAAAGGATTTCATCTTCTTGGTGCTCTGTTTCACAGCGGGCTTTCGATTCTTGCCCATCTTGCCGAAGGAATCAATCAATCACTAGTACGAGAGCGTGGCAGTTTATGCGTGGCAGTTTGTGCGTGCAGTGGTTTCAATAATCAAGTAATTATTTGGGATACAATATCGTTATATTGGTGATTGGCAAATGTTGATAATCGATTGATTGGCAGGGAGAATCTTAAAATCCGGCTAATCTAATTTAATTAGCTACCCGCGGGCGGTAACTAACTAGTTAGTTGGTTGACTAGTTAGTTCGGCCAAAAGAGTCTGGATCCTCATGGATTTTGGCGAAGGCTGCGATAGGCGGGTAACCATTGAGGCCAGGTTTCACCGAGAGGCTGAACCTGTCCTATTGTCTCAGCTTATTTATATACTGCTTCGTGACGGTCATGGAAATACGATGGACGGTGCTGTCATTTATCGGTAAACATATAGTTGCAAAGAGACACTTTTCTATGAATTAAACTGATTTACATAGGTCAAAGAAATAGAAAGAAGAAATGTTAGAACAGAAGCAGGAAATATTTAAGAGTAAAGGGGGGGAAATAAATACAGCATACTACAAATACCCAGGTCTCTCTGTAGTATAAAAGAATCGGGGATATCAAAAGAAGAAAAGTGCCAAAGGTAACCTGATGCCTCTAGCATATGATCTGGAAGAAAAAAGTGGCAGAGGAAATCGGCCGCACATTAAAAAAGGACAATCGAAGAAGGAATAATAAATTACCCTCGGAAAACCAACCAGCCAAAACAAAAAAAAAAAAAAAAAAAAAAAAAAAAAAAAAAAAAAACCAAGCTCTATGTGTTGCGGGATGCGGTTTAGTTGTTCGTCAACCACTAGTGGAATAGTAAGTAGTCGACGCTGAAAATAACGTTACTCAATGGATAGTCGTTTGCGCAGTCTGGGGATTCATTCTTCTTGGGTGAGCCAAGTGGAAAGCATCGCCTAGTATCACCAAAAAAACAAAATAGATAGGCCCATCGATTGCGTTAAAAAGTCGTTATGCCGAGGCAGATGCCAAGCGAGAGATACAGGAATCAAGACAGAGTGGGCATTTTTAAAGACCAGCTAATTTGCTCACGACTTGAATCCGTCTCTCACGCTCTGGGCACTGGCACTGACAGGAGGGTTCGAAGTTGGGAGAATTCCAGTCTTTGGTTTGGCGTTCTGCTTGATTTTGGCGAGGGCATAGACGATACCGCTTATAAATCCGATAGCAATGGCGGAGACACTGGGGAAGGTGACTGGGTCGCCAAAGAACATGAGACCAGACAGGGCGATTGGAAGCTTGTTGAGGGCTCCGACCATGGAGTAAGTAGTGGAGGTGGTAACACGGACACACCATGCGGACGCATAAGAGATGAAAACAGTAGACAATCCGGAGAAGAGCATGGCCACGTAGAGTCTGTTACGGGTATCGACAGGGAAGTTCTTGGCCACATTGGCACTGGACCAGTCCTCAACGAGGAGAGAGCTGACCATGAGAATTGGAATGGAGAGAAGGTTGTTGTAGAACATAGCTATTAAGAGAAAAGAGAATTAGAATTGCGTTAATGTGTGGGCCCTAGAAACTTGACTTACTGTCGAAATCCTTGAAGTTGGTCAACTTGATTCTCTTTCGCATTCCGAGGACATACGAAGCAGTACAAGCACAGTTGATCAACATCCAGAGATAGCCGGAGTTGAGAGTGGAAACAGCACCAGCACCAGCAGAAGTGCTGACGGCGTGGGTTATATCAGCCCAGGCAGCAACAACGGAGCTAAGGACCATGAGACCGAAGGAGAAGAGGGTGAGGCCGCTAACGGAGCCTCCAAACCACAATACCTCACCGTAGGCGATAAGGATGATGGTAAGGTTCTTGAAAATAGTGTAAACAGGGATTGAAAGGAACTTGAGGGCTTTGGAACCGGTGTAAATCATGCCGATAAGGAGGAGGGAAATTGGGAACCCTGCGAAGAAGCTCTGTTAGTTGGGGGTATGGATGGCCGGAAAGTTGACTATATAAAGAAAGCACCTACACTTCTTGGCTTCGTCTGAGCTGAAATCTCGGTAGTTGATAAATCCTAAGGTCTTGCAAGACTGAACTGCAATGATACAAATAATAGACTAGAAAGACGAGATGGTTAGATAAGCGGCTTCACTGCTACCGACAGAAGTGATTGCTCGACATACCTGAATACAGAGAAGGAAAAAGTTGAGGTTGAAATCAACACCTGATAAAACATATTTATTCGTCACAGTCATTAGAATAGAGGAAGCACAATAACTGATAATAGCGAGAGTGGCATTGTTTGCTGCTGAAGCGACAGCCGAGTGTCGCGGTTGTGGTGGTGGTGGCTGCGGCTTATAGCTACTGGAGGACTCCGAGTCCATCTTGTCCATGGGGATGTAGTTGTCATTCTTCTTTTGGTCCGACATCGTGAGTGGTCTATCGGAACTTTTCTATCGAGGTCTGTAAGGCTTTATTCGAGGTTCTATCGAAGTGCTGTGGTGCCGATATGATAAATCGGCGTGGTATATGGACTTTGCAAGGCCACCTGGGCGTTTCCCTTCTCTCAGGGATGATGACGACTCGGTTATGGGGCAAAAGCGCTGAACGTCGACGACGGGATAGAAGAAACACGTAGCCGACCAGAAACACCAAAGAAAAGGACAACGAGCAGCTGGGGCTTGGGGGCGCAGGCGGCGTTTGTCGGTGATGCAGGTGATATTTCTTCGTCGTCGTCGCTTTCGTCGCTCTTGAAAAGATGTTTTTTTCGTACAAAATAAAAAATATAAAAAACCGGAAATAAAGGTTGGAAAATTACACTGGTATTCCGAATACATTATATTACGGATGACTAAGCAGATAAATCCTTCTTCTCCTTTGTCCCTTTTTGCTTCTTTTGCTTGTGATTCTCGCTATCCTGGTCGCTCTTCTTGTTGATCACTGCCTTGGGATTGACACCCTGGCGACGGAGCTTGTTCCTCTGAGCGCGGGAGATGTACTGCTCGTCCTCATCCTCGTTGAAGGGGCCAAATCCGTCCGCATCGGCATCCCCAGTCTCTGGGGTAATTGGGGTCCTATCAATAATCTCTTCGCCACCGCTACCTTCGGAGGTTCCTGGAGCCTTTTGGGTCGTCTCCGCAGGGCTGGGTCCGGTCTTTTTCAGTTTGCAGACGAAAAACCCGTCAACATTTTCACGGTGGGGATAGTATCGTCGAGTCAGCGGCATCTTGTCGTCAAACTTTTTGTTCATGAAGCTCTTGAAGCCGGGAGTTCCAAAGTTTCCGAGGCCGGTGTCGACGATCTTTACGTTTGGCCGTTTCCTCAGAGCGTACTGTACGACACCCTCGTTCTCTTCAACCGTGACGCTACATGTTGAGTAGACTATGTACCCGCCCGTTTTCGAAGCATGGTTGGTAGAGTCGATGGCAGCAAGAAGTAGCTGCTTCTGCATGTGCGGTAGCGCCAAAAAATCACGCTCTGTCTTGGACGTTTTCACCTTTGGATCCTTGGAGATAACACCGGTTCCTGAGCAGGGGGCATCGAGCAGCACCCGATCAAAGCCTCCAATAGCTTTGGGGAAAGCTGTTCGAGCATCCATATTTGAGACAATAGTGTTTTTGCATCCCAAGCGGTGAATATTACCAATAAGACCCTTTGCACGAGTCTTACTGGCATCGTTGGCAAGAATGCTGCCAGTGTTTCGCATCAACGCAGAGGCGTATGTTGTCTTGCCACCGGGAGCAGCTGCCATGTCGAGGATACGCTCATGAGGCTGTGGAGCAAGCGCCATGACGGGGAGGAAAGATGAGGCGGCTTGCAGAATGTAATGTCCGGCAAGGTATTCTGGAGTAGCACCTAGGGGAACTGGGGACTCGAATACCTGAAGACCAACTTTTGACCACTTTCCAACAGGCTCTAGAACAACTCCTCGGTTAATCAATGCTTGAGCTAGTGACCGTCGGTTGGTACGTAGTGTGTTTGTTCGAATAACAATTGGTCGGGGAGACTCGTTAGCCTCAAAGAAGGAGAATGCTTCCATAGGAGTGAACAGAGAAAATAGTTTCTCTGCAAGGTAAGGAGTATATCCGTAGTATACACATATGTCGTTTAGGAGGAGGTCGGTGTAGTCTGCGCGCGATTTTCCTGGTTGACCAAGGGTGGTTAAATCACCAAGAATACGAATTGTATCTGTGATGCGGGTTCGAAGAAGTTGCAGGTTTGGAGCCAGTCCAGCTGTGAGATTTTCGTGCTCCGCAAATACATCGGGTGCATCACCTGCAATATTCGTTTGCATAGCAGCCTCTTTCAGCTCAAGCTCTGCCTGTGCAGCCTCCTCTTCCTTCTGCATGTCCAGTTTCTTAGACAATCCCTCTATATTGGCGGCAGTGAGGATCTCTTCCGCATCTGAAAGATCCTCGTCATCTGAGAACATCTTCTCTCGGGGTCGTTCCTCGTCTGAATCGAACGCTGAATGGCTCTCAAGATCTGAATCTTCCTGATCCAACGCATCCATATCGTCTGCGGACCCGTCACTAACCCCATCTAGGTCACCAAACTCATCATCAAGCATTTCACCATCCATATCTTCCTCAGAGTCTTCCGGTTCAGAAACCTCCACAGGTTTTGCTACCTTTTTCTTCCCATCCTTGGTGCGTACGCCCCCTGTGATAGGCGCCTTGGTATTCTTCTGCTTCACAGAGTCTTTCTTCCCGGCTTTCGCACCGTTTGTCTTTGCGCTCTTTGGCCGATCTTCGTCGTCATCGCCATCATCATCAACGCCTCTTCGTCGCTTAACTCCCTTAGGAGCGCTGTCCGGCTTGTCTGCTTTCCGCTTCTTAACCGCCTTTTTACCACTTTTTACGGTGAACTCCTCAAGCGGTTGTGGGGGACCCTGCTTCTTCCCAATGCGACGCCCGACACCCATCTTGCGTCAATTCCCCAAAATCAAGGCGCAATCGGCCGTGCTGTAGTTGTAAGTATATAAATATTCCTGGCGGTGCTTCCTTTTCTTCCAGCGAAATTTTGCCGATAAGGAAAAAAAAATAATTTTTAGAGTTTATCTTATCACGTGATAGGTACAGCTTATCAGTCTTACTAAGCAGAAGCAACAACCAAGCACACGAATCTACAGGCTGTGGACATTGATAGACATCCAGCATTGATAGGCGGACCCCGGAGAGATTGCAGCATTAAAGCAGGGTATAAAGCTGTCAAAATGTCAGAGGTATCATTTACAAAGAGTTTCCTAGCTTCTCTGGACTCAAAACCAATCAGAGTCCCAGCCGATACCGTATATGACCCTCGAACATTCGCCCCTCGTTTCCCGGTAAGGGTCTATATATATTTTATTTTGCTACAAGGCTAGCACGTACTGACAGCATGTCTACCTGTAGATCATCCTTCCGCGCTTAACTGATCCTCCTCACCCGCCTATGCCCAAGAAAGTTAAGACAGCATCACCGCCAGGCTCATCCAAAGGAATAACCGTCCATTTAAAGTCCGCTCGGAACCCTGTGCTAGATATCAAGCTTCCAAATGTGGCTCTTGCTACTGCCACAGTCCAGGAACTTAAGGATGCTGTCCACCAGAAAATACGACCGAGCAATGCAACAGATCCCGACCAAAGGGTGCCATTAGACAAGATAAAGCTATTGTGGAAACGCAAGCCAGTTCAAGGAACATCTGTTG